TGTATCATTTCCACTAGTTATGTGATAGGTATCCAGAGATTCTTACCACTGATGTTTGGGTTACCATCGGATTTACATATAGATGGGGAGAGTATTGTCTAATAGAACAAAAGCATGGTGCGTTATGTCTGGCGTGTATGGAGCAATTAGAACCTGGGATAAATGCATTCTGTTATAAATGTAAAGCACCAATACCCGTTGATTGGATTACAGGCAACAAGTCATTGGATTCATTTATTATGGAATCATGGAAGAATATAAAGAACGTATATGATGCATATATACAATGGATCGAATACTCTGAATTAAGAAACATACAAGATATGACATCATTATGCCATGGATGCACACATATGGCAGAATGGTTGGAACAGAAAACAAATGAATTGACACGTGTGACACTCAAAAAGATAGTTGACAAACAAAATGATCAGGTAAATTATTTCACGCGTAAAATGCAAATGGTATTATTAACGTGTGTGCGTTTAAATCAGTGTTGTTAACAATTGTATTTGTTTACTCAAATAGCTAACTACGGAATACCCGGAGATATTAACACCAGATAATATTTGGATAATTGGGATCACTCGGGAGCCATCTACTCGAGAATATTATCTAGTTTTCTACCACGACATACACTCACTATTGGATAGATTTATACGAAATAAAGAAAGTGTAATGTACATGCAGTATGGCGACTTTTCCGAACTCAAAGAGATCGGATCTGGTGGTTATGGAGCAGTTTATACTGCTGAATATAGAGGGAATGTACGGACCACGCCACAAACTGTTGTACTCAAACGGTTTAAGAGTTTTGATGGAACACCAAAATTAGTCATTTCCGAGGTAAGCAATAATTGATAGTATTAATTAAAGTGATATTTAATTTGATACTGTAATTATTTTATTTAATAGTTCAGAAATCATGCCAAGTGCAGCCAAAATTATCATTTCCTTCAAATTTATGGAGTGACACAAGACCCAGTAACAAAAGGGTACATGATTGTTATGCAATATGCTAACAAGGGTAATCTTTTGTCTTATTTGGATCAAAACATTAACGGTTTGACGTGGAGGATGAAATTACTGCATTTGAAGTATATTGTAAAGTATCTGGGCATTATTCATGATGCGGGATTAGTGCATTGTGATCTTCATGGCGGAAACATAGTTTTACATGGGCATAATAATCCGTTCATATACATATTCGATCTTGGTCTCTCACGATCAGTGAATTCACGTCAGTCAAATTCAACCATTCGAGGCGTTTTTCCCTTTATTGCACCGGAAGTCTTCCATACCCGCAAATTTACGAAGAAATCAGATGTGTATTCTTTTGGTATCGTTATGTATTTGATGGCTACTGGCGAACCACCTTTTAGAGATAGTAATAGGCAGTTCGATAGGGATTTAGTATGCAACATTATGGGCGGACTACGACCATCGATGCCTGATTCCGCACCAGAGGAATACAAGAAACTTGCCGAGCGGTGTTGTGATGCTGATCCTGATAAGCGTCCAGATGCATATTCACTTTATTGGGATGTTATTGGCAAGCTTGCTAAAGAGGTGAAAAACGACAATTCATGGAATGCCGTCTATCATAATAATGTAAAACCCTTATCACGTCTCGAAAAGGAGAGTAAATATTCTAGCACGCTCTTACCTACTGGAGATCTGCCTAAACCAAGAAATAGTTATGATATGGATTCAGCTGCGGGTATGGTTACACGTTGGTACAAATAAAGTCAATTTAAAATATTAACACCGTAAATTTCTTATAATTTAGATACTCAAGGAATAAATTTATAATTCAACCGGGCTTATTTTCAAAGGTTCGAATTATACGATGTGCTTCCACGTATGTCAATATGGTTGAGTTAACAAGATGCCGAAATAAAATCGTGCACGTTCACTGTTAGCTGCCTTCCGGGGTAGATCATTTGACTATGTATAAATATGATACATTGTTTTATGAAATTGGTAACGAGTTTCGTCCCTGAATAAAATACGTACAACGTTTGACATTGTTTTCATACTCAAATCAATGCAGTCACAAATTGGAATATCTAAACATTTCTTATTGTGGAACAACTAGTCCGTTGTTGGATGCCTGTTGAACTTGCATCGTTAGCTGTCAATAAAGATCTTACATTAAACTTGCATCGTTACGGGGCCGTGAAGGCTATGCAGCAATATCATGAAAAGAGTGGCGATATGTCTTTGGGGATATCCGTGGATTGATGATCCATCACTTGCGTAACGCCGTGGAATGACCTAAGGTTCGAGTTCTTATAGAAGTTTCAGATTCGCTTTTATCGCATCTCTAGGATTTTTGTCTGCATTCTAGTCATGAAGTGGCTATCGCGTCTATCAAGGCCTTATTGTGACCCTGCATCAGTTATGAACATAAATTAAGATACAAACCAGGCAAAACTGGCGACTGTATTGTATGAAGGTTTGCATATGGTCATGTGATTAAGATTATATTATTAGAACATGCCAAATTTTATTAAGATAATCAACTCTCGTTTTTGAAATACCATTGATGTTAATTCTTCTCTCTTTAAATTTTTATTGATGCTTTGATTGTTAACAGTAGATACTCTATAGAAAGTTTGCTGAGGGAAATTTGACAACGCAAACAGTTTCTTTCCCATTCCCAAAAACCTTTCATGTTATGTTTGTCCGTTTGGAAATATATTTATCCAAGGTGAACAACCGATATCAGTCATTGGTTATAAAATATTGAGTGCGTCGAAGCAAATAAGAGACTAACATCGCCTCGTTCCACATAGCTTTGGGAGTATTCAACCAAAGCTGGCGGTACCAATTGACATCTCTCACTGGACGACTAGAAGCAGAAGACTCCGTCGCGTTAGACATGCCCATTTTCCATGGGTGCAAGTTTTTGATATTATACAATCGGATTACTTAAGCAACTATGGAGCGTCTCGGAGTAATCAGTCCAGTCCCAGGTCAAAATACAAATTATGTTTCATACGCGTAGTCTACTGCGTGAGTTTTGGCACAGTCAGCTCACAGGTGCTACATTTGAATGGGAATAATTATTTTCGAATTAAAGAATAATTTTCATAGTACATAACTTAACAAACCAGTATAACCTAGAATTAATATTATATTATGTCAGCCATTGCAACTAAAATCGTCGAAAAAATATAATGTCACCCCAGAGACGAGCTCTTCTGAGTTGCTTAACGCACTTACAGATGATAGAAAGAGGATCAAGCACTAAGACACCTTTGAGATGATTTCAAATTCAGTGGTGAACAGATATCCCTATTCAAAAAAGTGGCCGGCGAAAAGTCATAAATCTTACAACTCTAAACAAATGCAGAAAAGAATTTGCTCAACAGATTTTACGAGACAAACTTGGTGAAAAAGATGCGAAGACTGAATCACAAAAGTTAACCAAGTTAGCGTTGAATAAAAATGCTGGACAAAAATTTCCGAGATTACAGAAAAAACTAAGTACCGAACGGACCGACATTGCGTAGGCTTTCTTGACCAAGATTCGCAAGCAACGTGAGTATTCCTCACTAGATTTCAAGCGTTCGATTTCGCAAAATCCAAATAAATGCAAATACCTTTATAACAACACTGTCCAGAAGGAAAGCAGTTCTACATTCTCATTCTCGGTCAGTTGACGTTTTCGCGACAATGGGTGCAAAATTTCTCGGAATTTATTACTTAACATCATATTACAATAAATCTAGAAATCTAGAAATCTACTTACGGTAACAAATAGATTGATTAATTCATATCTCAAACATATAGTTAGTAGTTTTGACTACAGAACTGCATATACTAAATTGCATACAAGTCGATGATTATTTGCCACGACGTAGCTATTTATTTGGCTTCTAACACACTTCCCTATTATTCAGATTGTATAGTCAGCACATTTTCTTGCTGCAATAATAATACATACGTATAACGGCTTTCGATCGCACACAATACAGCGTCAACGTCATTATAGTTTTGATAGTAAACTCATAAAACATGCTACGCTCTACACTGCCTACAATAAATCACCGGATTTCGCGAAACTTTACTAGTAAAACATATGAAAAGTCTTTCTTTTCAAAAATCTCTCCTGCCCATGTATGACAATAAATCTTGAAGCTAATTGATGGTGCTTTTCGAAAAAAATAGCAACTCATTTGTTATATCTTCCTGTTGTATAGCTGTAGCTCGATGAAATTATGTATACGTACTTTTACATATACAATCATATATTTTCATATCGTAATTTAAAGGCAACCACTTCAACATGCTACGACTTCATAGCGGTAAATGTACAAAATTTGTTGTTATTTTTTTTCCGAAGTGCAATCAATTAACTTCAAAATTATACAAAAACTGTTGTCCTTTGCATGGCATACATGGGTAGGAGATATTTTTGAAAAGAAAGACTTTTCATATGTTTTACTAGTAAAGTTTCGTGAAATCCGGTGATTTATTGTAGGGCAGTGTATATTGTCTAGTTCCGCATTGACATCCATTCTTCTCCCTATTTCGGAATATTAATATCGCGCGATAATCTCATCTGTACAACGCTATTACTATTACATCGATCGGAACAAATGCTGACAATTCCGAAGTAGTCAAATTCCGAAAACTATTATTTCGATGATGATAAAGATGACCTTCACCTGATCTGAAAAGTGTAGCAGGAGTTGCGGGGTCCAAAGAAAAAAGATTTACAATTAAGCAGATTTATTATCACTCGTAAAACTTTAGCAGAAATCGACGAAAGCGCGAAAAATTGAGAAGTAAACTGAGGGATCTTGAGAAAAGAACCAGGCAGCCAGAGAGGAGTAATTAACTCCGATGATAGAAAGGTGATTTCACGTAATGTCAATGCTCTATCCGGTTTTGCGCCCGCCATATTAATTTTAATCTATTACTATAGTAATAGTCCATTACATTGTCTGGTCATGTGACTTCAATTTACTCTTCTTGTGCTGCAGATATTCATGCACGATGCAGGACATTTGAAGATGACATCGCTCTGTGCCATTCTACTCGTCACCAAATCAAGTGGAGGACATGGTCGTTTTGTATTCAACTATCCAAAGGATCCCCAGCGAAAACATGAAATAATAGATTACACTACCGGGGATGAAGAATCCGACGCGGAGACGATAAACGAGAATATGCCAGGAGATGATGCCGATAAACGATCTATATTCTCGCGCATTGAATCGGAAGCCGACCCAATCCCTTCAAGAAAAAGAGTCGATGTCGCTTCACGAAATGACGATGGGGATGAGATTCTACTTGGTTTCAAGAAATCGTATTTGGCAGACTTTTTGTTGCCAAGATCTAACAGCATTAGGGACTTCCAACTTACCGTCGATGAAATGACATTTTTGGGACAACCCATATCTTTCACCAAAGCCTCACGAGATATTGACTTGCGGGAAGATAAAAAAAAGGATGACGACGAAAACGTAATGGACAGTCAAGATATTGATCAATCCGTCGGAACAAAGTTGCCGCCAACAACGAAACCAGCGAACCGGTTGAGTCATTTTCATCTGGTGTTTGTTCTGGAACCACCCGAATTGGAATTGAGTCAGCAGGTGGATAAAATGTTCAAGCATGTTATAGCAAAAATCACCGCTGCTCTCTACTATGAACAAGAGAGATGCGATTATGTGAGACAGCAATCTGACTTGATAATGCAATTGAATGCTGCAAGATTAGGTATGTGTTGCGAGAGCTTATACTTGTGTTGTATGTTTGCATGACTACATCACTAATACACCTTGTATCGACAGATAAATCGCCAGATGAGCTTATGCAATTAACTTTGAAAAAAAGTACTCTTGCTAGAACAATAGCGGATGTCTATGATGCAATATCTACAGACTCAACAGCCCACGTCCTTGTTAATGATTATATTGACATTTCATTACAGATACCATCGTTTTCACCTTTTAACCAAGCCGATAATAGACAAGATTTGGATGAATATACACAGTTTCCTGTCATAACTCCGCATAAGACACTCTTATTGTTAGAGGATCCTCAAGAAATTTTGAAGGCCATGCCGTTGGACGCAAACCCAACACTAGTTCAGCTCATACAAATTATTACCCCCACACAAAGGTGAGCACAGTCGTGGTTTTATATGCGAGTATTCGATAGGCTACGGTGACTCTGTCGAAGTGAAATACGCTCTCATCAATGTTCATTACGGCCGTAATGGTTATTTCTACTAATAATAACTTAACGGTATATCTTTAGGCTCGGAGATCTAATCAGTTTGCTCGACTGTTCTCTGGCACAGATTTACAGAATAGTAGCGCATCTTATTTATTGGAGAAAAGCAAAACTGATTGATGTTATTACCACGAAAAATATTTACGTTACCTCTCCATCAGCGGATCTAAGATAGTAAGTGGTTTAGCTTGATAGAAGCTTGTGTATTGTCCAATCATCCTACTCAGTCTCTTATTTACACGCACTTTCTCTCTTAAGCCTGAATGCTCTAGCTGCTGATTTCAGTCAACACTGTCCGAAATTGGACCTAATCACATTGCTTTCCGAGCTAAACACTCCTGCGCCTAGCAAATTGGAAGACATAATTCCCATCACTTTCAAAGAGCAGAAGACAATTTATTTTGACGCTATTGCTTATCTACTGCGTAAGGGGCTCATTGTACAATTGCATGCATACATTCTTGTAATGGTCCCACCATATATTCATATGGGAAAACAAGGTAGTCATGACCATTCTAAGATTATATCAACTCCAATTTCGTCTCCTGAACAAGCAAGTGAGGCAGAGCGTAATTGGCTCAATAGCATTACTGCCGGTAAACCTGAAGAGACACGGTCTCTCTTTGACAGGTAAATCAGTTTGATGGTTGTATCAAAGATGACTGTTATAACCAACCTGACTTCATTGTAACGTCTTTTAAATATTTGCTGACGACATCCTTCTAATCCGTTTAGATTAATACAATACTTTAACGGACACCATTATCTTGAAGAAATCTTGTTGCAAGAGAACATATCTCGGAAAGATTTACGCTTGGTGACCGATCGGTTTGAGGCGTTAAACGCCTTGTATATTTTATGGCATTATGGAACAGGTTATTGATTATTATAATTATAGTATTTATTGTCTTTATTATTAGTCGTCATTGCCTCTTTTTATATTGTCGCTGATTCTATATAATTAATTGAATATGTAATAAAGGATTATTGATACCACAGATTGCTAGACTAGGTAAAGAATGACCAAAAGGCAGTTAAGCAAGGAAATGATTATGCACAAAATAATCTTATGAAAGTGTTTACGTCAAGGTTTATACCAGCAACCTGTATGGATAAATTGACCGGCATTAGTATGCTTGATGTTAGTTAATATCACACATGCGTTTGCATTCTGGGAGGTTTAGTGCGATATCTCGTCCTATAAACAATAGTGATCAAGCTATTAAAGTGTCAATCCACGCGTTTAATATTGGCACTTTGCATTAACACAACCACACAACTGGAAATTGTGTTAATCAGTCTATTTAGTGTGTAAACATGCACGAAAAGAAATTCAACAAGGATGTCGAGCAAAGTGAATCGTGATCGTTTAAACAGCTTTATCCTGAATCTGTAACAGACACATAAAGACTTTCCTGATCGTAAATTACAATCGTTATGGTGCCGCAAGCAGCTTAGTAATCGCCCGTTAATTAACAAGAGAGTATTAGTTTAAGCAAACAACGATAGGTCATCTTAAGTAAACATACTAAATACCTTCATTGAGTCATGTGAAACTAATAAAATGATTTATCGATTGATAAATAGTACAGTAGTATGAGGTTCACTTTAGAGAAGACGAGAATTTATTCTTTATTTCATGATTCGGCCACTACTTATATATATATGTGTTGAGTGATACACTGTAATAATAACATTAACTGATACTCTTTAAATCGTAAATCGACCTCGTCGTCGCTTGGCAAAAGGAAACTCGCCGCGTGACGTAAATAGTATTCCCGTACGTTAATCTATAGAACAAGTGCCTCGCGGTAATAAATGTAAATATTTCACATAAGTAATATTCAACGATAACAACTGTTCGAGAATTTATTCGTAATGATTCTTTATTTCAGTTTGAAGATTGTTATTATTATCGTGTATCTGTAACTATTACTCTAACGTTCCTAATTAGTGATAAATCCGTAAATTAATTAGTAGTTCATGGCAAAAGAAACTCGCCGCTCCAAAGATAACATAATACTTACTATCACTTACCGCGTTAATCCATAGAACAAGTAAGTATCTTCTACTTCTGGTACTAATAAACGTAAATCGATTAGTTCATGGCAACGGAAACTGCCGCATGGGGAACAACAACTCACCCGCATGGCAAAGGAAACTGCCGCATGGCGTAAATAGTATTCCCGTACGCAGGTATGAAGTATCCGCTATCGCTCGTGGAATACTCGCCGCTATAATGATATATAATACTTACCGTCACTTACCACGTTATCCCATAGAACTTTTGACATCGCTGCTATTGCCACATCACCTACAAGAGTGATAAAAAAGCGCCTAGTCAACTTCAAAATATTAACTCAATGTTTACCAACTGTATTGTGCTGCTCTTAGCCGTCCATACTAATAGACGTTGTCACCCGCTCACCACGCTGAGGTGGCAGCACGTCGAGCGGGAATAGGGAATTGTCCACGAATGCCGCTGTTAAAGGCGTCAAAGCGCATCGACCGATAAAAGCAATAGTAAAAATTTGAGATATATATTAGTTATTACGGTTTCTGAAGTCAAAAGTTGACATTATCATCTGTAAAAATCAGATTTGTCTTTAATGTATGGATATGCGACCAGCGTACAGCATAAGTAATATATTACGAATGCTTCCTACCACCTCCCATCCTTCCTCCGCCTGGAAACGCATTCCAACATAGACATTGTGTAGTTATAGAAACGTATGAAAGCGGATCAACCAGCACACGCAGTTATCGTAAATCGTCTTTACTCATTATACCGCATATGCGCCCGCCGCCTCCCTCTGATGACCCACCAAACAGGTGCTATCGACGCGTTTCAACATTTCCAACTACTAGAACGCAGTTACAACCTTTGGGTGGCGAAGAACTTCTATCTACGATTGTGTAATACGTAATGTAAAACACAACCTACGGGACTTAATCCCTTGAGCAGTGAAGAACTTTCTATCCACCACGATTATAACTGGTTTACAGACATTCATCATGTATGCTAAACTACTAACTAGACTTGTATAATTTACCCAACTTACCAGTTGATAATGTCGTTGTGGCAGTTTACCGTCATGCCGAGGACAGGTAATAAATAGTAGGTTTGCTTCGCAACTAAATACGCGCGTTTTATTTGTTTTGTCTCCCGACTTATGTGTCGCTTTCCTTAACTATGGTGCCTAAACGGATGGACTTTATTAATATGCTTCTCCGTTTACCACGTTCGTAGACGTCGTCCGCGTTTTTTGTAAAGGCGCCAGTTTACCGTCATGCCGAGACAGGTAACTTTGCAAAAAAAAATGAGCATGATAACACTGGCGTACGCGGACAAGCCGTATTTATTTGTACACGGATATTACCCCTTTTCTGTGTCACTTCTTGAAGATTCATTGTCTCCAGCACAATTGCATAAATTTGCAGAAAATCAAAATTTGCCAAAAAAAAAACTATTTTTAGTACACTCCTTTAAACTTATCAGCGCGTTTGTTAAGTTTACACCAAAGTATAGCTTTTATGTCCCCTTTATCGGCTTGTTTGCCTGTTATTGTCGCTTCCAACGTTATATTTACTTCTTTACATACGTATCTTGCTTACTCTTTGTTTATTCTGTTGTCTTTCGAAACAGCTGTTTTATTGTCCGGTGCCCGCCCATGTTACCCCCCTCACTGCTGCCTAAGCTTGAAGAGACACGTATCGGTATTAACGATAAAGTGACAATGAAGAAACCGCCTGTATACTGTACTAAATGCGAAAGTGGCTTAGGACGTCATATCTGTATACATATGTACAATTTTTCGAAACAAGTTTTTACGATACTTTAACAATTATTTGTCACTATCATATGCTCTATTGCTATATCGGTAACTTTATTGGTTTGTTTTTATGATAAAACAAACTGCATGTAAGTTAACTTACGTATTTTTTACATTGTGTCCGCTATTTCAAGTCCGCTTTAATAGGATATAATGCAACAATCTTTTTGGTGTCTTTTACGATGATCATATTGAGAGCCAAGGACTTGGGATGACCGGAAATCATACGAACTTTGATACAAAAGTTTGAAGAAGTAGAGAAGTGACCTATCAATGAAGTTTTCAGAAGACGAAACTATCTAACTTATAAGGCATATGTCTTCGCCTTGTGGCGATTGAATTAATGACGTATCAGTTTCTGGTTTTGATCGATGTACTTTTTAACTTTGAATTAATGAGTTGCCTTTGTTTAGTCGGCGATAACGAAGGACAATAGAATTCAAAAAAATAGAGTTTGTGTCTACGGTTTTATTAAAAACGCTTATCAATACTTCGGGTTTGATACTTTTCGTAATCACAAAAGTTTGTATCATGTCATTCTGAACCACACTCTCTTATCCCTTCTCTCACCAAATATTCTTTATGTCACATCTTATTTACTTAGAATGACAGTGTTCAGACTAACTTAGCATGTCTCACAACTATCGAATCACATCGTTAGGAATAAAATATCTCGCTCCGCAATTGTATAAAAATAATCATCTCCCGATGAAGTCACTTGCATTATGATGTGCGATCAATTGTGCCTCATGAGCATCACGGTGACAAAGACAAGGGATGTCTCACGACAATACTAAATAAGCAGGTGTTACTTTAACGATTATCAACATCATTATCTTCACTTTCCCGAAGTTAAATATGACAACTCCACCAGTTCGCAGATCAGGCCTACAACAGTATGAGAAATTGCTGGCAAAGTTGAAACCGCTCGAGTTTTTCTGAGCGAATGGGTACTTATAAGATTATTGATGACAGACATGTATAGTAACTAAAGAAGATTCACATATCATCAAAAGTTTGGTTTAGGATCCTTACTCATTTTTTTAGGTCATCCACGTTTTAATTTTGTCAATGAGGAACACAAAGCCGTCAACTTCTTTGTTAACTTCATTCTCAATAGTGGCGCAGCAATAATCATACTGATATCGATAATCTTTCGTTGTGTTACAAGTTCTGTCTTCACTTTGACGAAAAGGTTTGCACAAATGGGACTCAGTTCGGTGGTATCCCGATGTTATCGACAGGTGGATATTCGATTACTTGATTAAAATTCCTGTTTACTGCCTTCTTATAACCTAACCTAATATATTTAAAGCTTCCGAGATGTCTCCCGATTGGTCGCAGATTTTTTGCAACATCTGCGACACTTCCACCGCGTAATTATGCACAGATAACACCTCCATATGAAACCTTAGTATCCAACCTATCCGTTATCTCCAAAACTATACTTGGTTCCAAGCCACTTACTCAAGCTGAGAAGATATTATATGCTCATATATGGGACCCCTACGAAGTAAATTCAATAGTTCGTGGGGAAACATACTTAAAGCTGAGACCTGGTGATTATTTATTCTGGGTAATATTAATTCAGCAAGTAGATAATGCGTTGGATTAATTTTGTTTATAATCAAATCGTAGACCGAGTAGCAATGCAGGATGCTTCAGCTCAGATGGCAATTCTCCAGTTTATGCTATCTGGTATGTCCACGACTGCTGTTCCCACTTCCATCCACTGTGATCACTTGATCGAAGCTTACGAAGGTGCGAATAGTGATGTCAAGGTATGATCTATATAAAATCTATTCAACCATATGCTTTCTGTTTTGATCAATATCGTCATGCTTGTTATTGCCTATTTGTCATCAATCGCAGGCGGCTGAGATAACAAATAAAGAAATATTTGATTTCTTGCAAAGTGCTGCTGAGAAGTATGGAATGTCATTCTGGCGACCAGGCAGTGGAATTATTCATCAAATAGTATTAGAAAATTATGCAGCTCCAGGAGGACTGATGTTGGGAACAGGTAATCGGAAGGACAGATTGAATGGAAAAACGGAGATATAACAAACTATATTACAAATCAATTATAATTCTCAGACAGTCACACTCCAAATGCTGGCGGTTTGGGTATGATTGCAATTGGTGTTGGTGGTGCTGATGCTGTTGATGCTATGGCTGCTATACCATGGGAACTCAAGGCACCAAAGATTATTGGAGTGAAGTTGACTGGAAGATTGAATGAATGGACCAGCCCAAAAGATGTTATCCTGCATCTTGTTGGTAAACTAACCGTTCGTGTAAGTATATGTCATGATGAATGTTAACATATGCAAGAGTTACTCAAAGTCCTTGATGGTATTAGGGTGGTACTGGCCATATTATTGAATATTTTGGACCGGGAGTAGACACTCTTTCGTGCACCGGAATGGCTACTATTTGTAATATGGGAGCAGAGGTAAGCGATAAAACAATGAAGTTTATTGCAAAATCCTCAATCAATAATCTATTGCTTATTGTTGTTAAGGTAGGTGCCACCACGTCTCTCTTCCCATTTACTGAAAGCATGTACAGATATTTATCTGTCACTCGACGTGAACCTGTTGCCAAAGCTGCTGCTTCCAACCGATACTATCTTTCAGCAGATTTACATGCACAATATGATCAAATAGTAGAGATTGATTTATCCGAGATTGAGCCTCATATCAATGGTCCATTCACCCCAGATTTATCGACGCCACTAAGTAAATTTGCAAGTCTTGTCAAAGAGAAGGGATGGAAGGACGAGATTAAAGTTGGATTAATTGGTAGCTGTACCAACAGTAGTTATGAAGATATGGATCGAGTCACAAGCATTGCTAAACAGGCATTGAAGAAAGGGATTAAGCCAAAAGCTGGCTTTTATATCACACCGGGGAGCGAGCAAGTAAGGGCGACTATCGAGAGAGATGGACAAATAAGCGTACTTGAGCAAGTCGATGGGAAGGTGCTTGCTAATGCCTGTGGACCATGTATCGGACAGGTAAAGTCAACATAGACTGTGTTGGCAGTACATATCAATAATTACTCATTCATATTGTGACAGTGGAAACGGTCAGATATCTCAACAGATGAGGAGAATGCAATCCTAACCTCGTTTAATCGTAATTTCCGGAGTCGCAATGACGGGAATGCGAAGACAATGAACTTCTTAGCTTCACCTGAGGTAGTGCGATATGGCATATTTTTTACTTCATACGATGTACGGCATCTGGGCATAACAAAATTTTGTTTCCAATAGCTAGTAACAGCAATGACATTTTCTGGGAAATTAACATTTAACCCAATGGTGGACACACTAGTGGATAAAGATGGGAACCCATTCAAATTCAGTAGTCCATATGGGGATGAATTACCTTCAGATGGATTTGATGCTGGTAACAAACAAGCAAGCGTGAATTGTCCCAATTAATAATATGCAGCTAAATAATTCACGTTTGTCATTTATTTATTGAGGCAACCCCGATTATCATGCTCCACCAGTATCATATCCAAACTCTACAACAGAAATCAAGATTCCTGCAACATCATCTCGTCTTCAACTCCTCACGCCATTTCCACCATTTCCTGGCCACGAATTTAAATCGCTCAGAGTTCTAGTTAAAGTGAGCGGGAAATGCACCACTGATCATATATCAGCTGCTGGCCCGTGGTTAAAATATAAAGGCCATTTGGAAAACATATCTAATAATACGCTTATTGGAGCTGTTAATGATGACAACGGGAAAGTAAACGTTGTCAAGAATGTATTGACTGGTGAGGTGAGTCATACTACTCTTTTAAATAACTGAAATTGGTGTTATTGTAAACATATCACAAAGATTTCCTAACAATCTAATCTAATACTGTAAAGGATGGAAGTATCCCTGATGTTGCGCGACATTATAAAGAAAATAACGTTGCTTGGATTGTAATTGCTGACGTATGTTTCTCTCATAGTCAACCTTCAATTAGTGGAGGCTTCTACAAATTCCTGCGTTTCTCGTATTATTTTATGACATGCTAATTGACATTTCTCGCACAGCACAACTACGGCGAAGGCTCCGCACGCGAACATGCAGCGTTGCAAGTTCGCTATCTCGGTTGTCCTTTAATTATTGCACGTTCGTTTGCACGCATTCACGAGACTAATCTCAAAAAACAAGGCGTCCTTCCTCTAGTATTTGCTAATGAAGACGATTATACCTTCTTCAATGGGGGTGATTTAGTGGATACTGTAGGTGTAGTTGGAATTGAGCCTGGTAAGGATGTTATTGTGAAGCTTACCAAGGCAGACGGAAGTGTTAAAGAAATCAAGACACATCATACCATGTCAAAGGATCAGATTGAATGGTTCACGAGTGGAAGTGCATTGAACCGTATAGCTTCTAGTACAATAGGGAATATTTAAAAATATTTATAATTTCGACTGTCATGTATTTAGCCATTATCTCAAAATCATTCCGGAGTAAATTGTTACTATATTGATATAGTCGTTACTTGTCTATTCTTCATTTCAGTGATCACTTCAGAAAAAAATTTATTTTTCTGCTTAATCGGCAGATTAGTAGTAGGCGAAGTATGAGCATGTGCAAAAATCTAGTATAAATTTAGAACATACGATAGAGTTGCGAAATTTAGAACATACAGTTCCCTCCGAAAAGTCACAAAAGTTTACGAATCACACCATTAGTAACATATCTGTATTTTACGCTTGTTACTTTACAAAAATTTTTCCAGCTTCATTTACTAGAAAAAGATCGTCAAAGTCAACAGAGAGTTTTGCCTGTAACTTTAATCGCAAAATCCTCAATATTAACACGAAAAGTTTATTAAGAATTTGTATTCAAAACACAAGTACAAAGTTTCATAATAAATGCTCATTAAAAATGATAAGCATAGAGACTGTATATTAAAACATTCTAATATCTAATAGGTTTTCCTTTGCTTTGTATAATTGCTTGGCAATACTATTACGAGAATACAAACAGTAACATATAATTACCTTAAAATAACACTATGCCAACCTCCTGGCAATTCAACTTTCCTCCTTGGCTTTTTTGACATTAATTTTATATAATCATCAACTGATAAAAATTTAGAGAATCCACTTTCTCCTCGAATATCCATCACATCATTGATTATGGAATTACAAAATGCATTTCACTGACAAGTAACTACCAAAAAGGATAATTTCGAAATAATGTTGGTAAATATTTGTCGGTAAAACAAAACGATTGTCGGCGAAATGATTGCCTCCATCTTAGACAATTTGAATACATACGAAAATAAGTTATTTCGCTGGGATTTCTTATATTTTATAAAAAGTGTAATAAATTCCCCAAGGTGCTGTTCATCAAGTCTGGTGACTGTACAGGCCAGTCAGCACCTCAACACCATTACCATTTTTGAGCAGTATGAGAGGTGTGTTTAGGATCATTACCCACATAAGCTCGAAAAGTCTGTCACCCAATTTAATCACGAACATTATATCAGGTCGCCTCCCCAATCAGCTACTTCCCTTTTCTTTCTGCACTTGTAGTACTTTGACACTCAGAACTAAATATAAAGAAGGCTTTTCAAATGGGACGTTCTTTAACAAAGCCCGAATCGCTGGCACTATGATATTAGATACATAAGTACCTTCACTGATTGATCCCACAAATTAGGACTGAAAGCTGTGGTTTCCCATGTATAGCTCAAAACATCGACGATTCCTAAAGTAACTTCCCTAAGAACGTCAGCTGACTCTTTCCAAGTACCATCGTACAATATTAGGGGTGACTTCCATTCGGTGCTTTGAACAGGATAACACGGACTGCACAGGTGAAACCAATCAACATTTAATTATGAAGAAGAGTATGTTGATATCTGACGCATAATTGATATTACGAATTAATTTTCGATAATCGGCGCGTCAAGAAGACTTATGATCAAACGGAAGGTTTTTTAATAACAGAAGCCTTACCGAGAGGGAGTGTATTGGATTGGCTTATGAGATATCAAGAGTGACTTCGTATGATAAGCGGTTGGGTTTTTATGCGAAGATATCCGTGACCCGCTATCGTGTGGTATGGCTCATACGTCTAAAATAACAAATTTATTAAATCAAGAACTTTCCAGGAAAACGCGAGCTTTGTTTATTATTTACCGTAGAGTTCCGAAAACGAGCCATGCTGTAGAAAGGATATTGCATTTTGGGCACGTTGCTCCGCAAATAATCGAATGTATGACAATAATATCTATATTCTTTCTGTGATACAAATCATTACCAATAGATTTACTCCTTCAGTAAGACATGTATGAAGCGAAATGCAATCTCATAGCTTCAAGTCTTTACTAGTACACAAATTTATGTGGATCTAACTAAAAGCATACCACAAAGGACCGAGGCATGCAAATGCTTGTTCGCTTTTGATGGCTATCGTGATCCGATATTACGCTTTAGCGACTTGTCTCAGTTCTGGACTGAGTGACTGGGTTCTGATGAGACAGGTCCCAAACTCGGCTACAGATGTGCCACCCAATGTCAATTTATTTTTCAAAATATATGATCAATGATCGGATCGTGTACCTGTTTTTCATAGTTGGTATTTTTAATGCCGATCGAGGGTTCGGTGATTCATATTAATTTCTCCTGGTGCACCATATATAGCACATGTGAGCTATAAGGGTTAGGGTAAATTTGCAGATCTCGTTGGTGCACCACTGGTGTACCAGGCGAAATTAATATAATTATGATTATAATCATCGATCGATTTGGGGGGTGGATAGATTTTAAATGCCGGTCGATATTAATATCGACCCATCCGATCTAATCGCGCATATAAAAGAGGCCAGTTTCAAAAGTATCTGTTTGTAAAAGACACTTGGGTAACAACACTTTAGAATGGAAACTCCCTATGTTGATAATGCAGTCAAAGCGCTTGGAATCATTTCCATTGCGTTATTCTTAAAGTATATGTTTCAAGTAAGAAATACTACTGCTTACAATGTGTTGGAATCATTATACACCATATAACGTAACATATGCATGAATATTCAACAGACAATTTACGTTGCGTACTTTGGACCATTGAGCAAGATTCCTGGGCCAAAGCTTTCAGCGTTAAGCACTATCCCACTTTTATTCAGGGGCACTAATGGCAAAAGGTAAATTTACAGAAGGTAAATTTTCATTAGTTTATCTACCATTATTAATACTCTTGTTTATTAGATGGTATTGGTATCAACGTGAATTAAGACCCAAGTATGGGAAAATAATCAGAATAGGTAGATCGTGCTAAAACGCATCAACTCTATGGTATGATGGCAACTAACTCGTGAAATTTCTTAGGCCCAGACATAGTTCTTGTCAATGATAAAGACATTATCAAACAGGTATAAAGTTAGTGTTACTGGTATATCGTTGGGATTAGTTAAAAGTGCTAATGGTCTGTTATATTCCATGATCTCAGATTATAGTTAAAGAAGTAAGTACGGTACAAATATCGAGCGCGGTGTTATTGGTGTTGTCTCACACAATACCGTCATATTTAATAGGATTGGCCAAAAGGTGATTTCTATAAGATATATAGAGCTGCACCTCATTTACAGACATTGTTCTCGACCACGTAAGCGTTCTCCTAATTGTGATTAGTGAAGAAGTGTTGTATATTAGACGAATCTAATCGTGATATTCTTGCTTGTGAAATCAGCGACAAAGCATTTCATAAACAACGGGTAAGTGCTCAAATACATGACGCATTATATGCTTTCTAGCAGATTATTATTCCCAACATAATTGTTCGTCTCTACATTTAATATACAGCGTCGATTGCTCGCACCGGCTTTCTCTATCAAATACATTCAGTCTCTTGAACCATATGTGGCCAAGTGTATTCGCAATTTGAACGACAAGATCGATTCACTGATTCAGGAAAGTTCATCAACTGATGGAGCGGTAATAGACTTGTACAGAATGTTGATTAATACAACTCTGGTGCGTGAACGAAGAACGATTAATCTGCCTGTATTATGCCGCACGCTACTGATAGTTATCACTTAATGTTGACAACCTGTTACCTTAAATTGTAGGATTCAATTGGCGAAACTGCATTTGGGGGTAGTTTTAATATGATTGGAAAAGGACACCACCCGCTACCAAAAGAGGTTTTTGTGGAGTTGAGCAAGCGTATGCTGGTTTGTATAATTCAAGAAAGATCTCTTAATTAATTGTGCTCGTTAAGCTCACTTGACAATTTGATCCCATATACGCATAGAGAAATGGATTTCCAATATTCAAACCGTTCGTAAAGAGTAATCAATATCTGTATGACGTAAGTGCATGCTGCGTTATGTGGGTCTAACTATTAGGTAAAAACACATCCATACTCATTGATTCTACTTTGAAGTTTTCAAGCGAACTCATCAAACGGCGTCGTCAAGAAGTCGGAGTTCGCCGCAAAGATATTCTCCAGATTATCCTCGATGCTGGGGAAGGAGAAGCGGCATTAGCGGATATTGACATTTATGAGCAAATTATTGAATTTCTTGTTGGTGGGAGTGACACGACAAGTTATAGCACGTTCTTCGCCCTGTTAATGTTGTTAACCCATCCGAGTAAACTGCACAAGCTCATTGAGGAGTTGGACAACGAATTTGTTGATTTACCAAGGAATGAGCTACCAAAACATGAGAAGCTAAAGAATTTACCATATTTGAACGCTGTCATAAACGAGACGTTGAGATTATGGCCTATTTCTTTGGGTAAGTTGGCGCCGTTTAATTAGTCCTAATACCAATTGCTATTCAATTTGATTTAAACGTCTTTGCTTACCATCACTGTTTCTCATTAAACAGATGGAGGTAACTAGCAATTCTTCAACGCGTTGAAAGGTTCCTTCCCACCCTGTCGCGAGACTGCGACTTAAAAGGCTGTCGCAGTAACTTCATTAATAGATGATACACTACTATTTTTTCATATATCAGGTAGCGGGCGTTCACCAACAGAGGATAAAGTTGTAAACGGTGTACTCTTTCCTAAGGGTACTTTAATACTCACTAACTATTACGCTCTTCATCATTCGGCTGAATACTGGGGCAAAGATGTCAATGAATTTGTTCCTGAACGTTGGTTCAATGATGACATACCACGCGACGCATTTTATCCATTTTCGGCTGGTTCGAGAAACTGCATTGGACAGAAGTAAGCTTCACTTGTGTAATTTCGACACGTAATGATGTAACTTAAAATTTTATATTAACACACATCTATACGCTATAACAGCTTTGCTTGGTTTGAGATGCGTCTTATAATCTCGTCACTTTTAAGGCGATTCAGATTTGAGGATATCCCGGGCCAAAATTACTCTGATATTGTGCATATTGTGACACCCTCTCTCGCCCAAGATGAGTACAAAGTTCGCGCATGGAACCGACCCTGACTGTGACCGTGACCGTGACATTATATAATCATCTATATTAGAAATATAGATCATTCTTGAGTTGATAGATTAATTTCCAGTTCAAAATGTAAAACATCAAGTAATATAAATAATTTAAAACCTTTCGTACGTTGTACAAAACAAATTCGAATAGTTTTATTTTACTTTCATCCACTGAATAGCGAATTCCGTTTGCTACATGATTGGCTGATAATTATTTTTTCAATAATTTGGCCAACTCATTGGATAAGAAGATAATACTGTGACTACAGCTATTAATTTTTGATCGCCTGACGAAACTTTTGGTATAACGCGATATTAGAAATACTGTACGAACTGTAACGATTTTGCTATTAGAATTCGTTATAATGAGAGAATATATAACTATTGTGGAAATGCTTACTTTGGGGTAAGTATAACGAGTAAGCACCCCCCACATCGTATATAATTAAAACTATTATCCGCGCACTTGTAATACCATTAGTCGATTTCATACAATTATATTATACCCACTTAGTCATTGATTATTCCACTCAGACAGGTTATGCCCACAGATAGCTACTCTTGTCTAGAGAATGTACAGTAATTAGCTCTTTGCGCCAGTCCGTATGAGAGAAACCGCTACATGAGATCAATAAAACGCATCGGTTTGTCATGTAGTTTTATATAAAAATTTTCTATTCAAATTGCTTCATTTTTGGGTGAGTTAAAAGGGGGAGGGATATTTATTGATTTCGGCTCTACTCCATCTTTTATGGATTGAAATCGCGCTGTAGTATTTTCAACACCGAACCATAACAATAATCTGCAACTGATAGATACGCTCAATATCCTCCTTAATATTAACATTGTTCTCCAGCTTTATTTTGACAAGTGACTTTCCTTAGAATAAATTATCAAATGGTAAAGAATAGCCCTATTATAACATCAATATTTTGTATCTTTTAATATAGACGGTTACATTTATAATATTACAACTGTCTATCAGTAAGTAATAAATAGATAGTGTATACAAATATTTTTATCAGAAAGACGAAAAGCTTTTGCCAGAGAAGAATTATTTCAGAAAAGAACGTTGTCAAAACCATTCACAAATTGTTGATAAATACAGACAAACAAATAAAAACGTGAAGTATGAAATGTACTGTATTCTAATTTGGCAGAGCAACTAAAGAAGAATGTGACTTTCTCTCAACACGATGGCTCTGGTTATTTTTCGAATGCGGTTTATTTTAAAAAAATAATAATAATTTAAACATTGACAAGGTGTCAAATTATTTTATAAAAATATGTTGGCATCTAAATTAACGAACGTGTGCAGCAAGCGTAACAAAATTTAACAACTCCGTCTTCCTTTTTTATTGGCCGAGTATTTGGCCAAATTTTCTTTATTGCGAGCGTATCTACTAATACAAATTCAGTAGACTTTATTCTGTAGCAGACGTTAATGGTCATGGACCTATTGTCCAGTTATACCGCCGTTACAGCATTAAACCTCGATCAGACGGAATTTCGCGTTCAATCTATGAGAAATTTAACAACTCGCTGCTTGGTATTAGACTGACATTGTTGGGGGTTGGGGGGTTTTTTTTTCTTTTTTGAAATACGCTTATCGCACAAAGTATCGCATTACTTGATAATCAATTAGTAAAAATATATATACTATTTCTTTTAAAGTCTCTATTGTCTGTATATGCTGTGTAAGTCACAATAACTTTTATATCACGTTAAAGCTAACCGATTGCATTTTAACTATAAGTTATAATGTGAAAACATATGAAAAACAACGCCACTTTATTTGTTGTAAATGGACTTGTCAAATGTAGCGTTATTTAATTTGATACATACTGTATATACGGATAAATAAAAAGCGCAAAACCCGTGAACGATTCATCGACTCGTTGATGTTGTAAACATTTTCATTTGGCAATATTTTTGGCAACTGAAGGCATTTCAGGAGTATGCAGAACATGATCCTCCCTGCAAGTATATAAACTGTACCGTTTTGGAAAATTGACTCTATAAGTGGATAGTAACAACTGCTCGTCGAATAGATCATATGACGATTGACACATTTGGGAATTTGCCACAGTCCGCAAAAGCACATTTTATTCTATTTGGAGACAATCCTATGTATAGAACAGTATAATTAAGTTAAGGTGTTCCAAATATAGAACTTATATGTAGTATAGGGTTAAGAGCATTATAATCGTCGCTATGTGTAATCAGCTTAATAAAGTACCATAAATTAACATGCCTAAATAAGAACTATATTCCCGGTCGGGTGCAACAGTCGAGTAATGGTAGTGCCATTCATCAATTACTTGTTCTAAATATAACTTTAGTCAATTATGCATAATTTCTCTCTATATAAAGGCCCTTTTTGCGAAGAACATTTTCATAATCCTTCCCTGTTGTCTACAAAATGGCCAAACTGTTTACTCTTCTTTCAATCCTGGCTGCAGTCATTTTCATCGAAACGGCTCCCACAAGTGGACAGATCACCACCGCAGTCGAAAGTGAAACCAACTTTTGCATATTTCTTCCCCCACAACTTGGTGGCGGCATTGCTGAACATGAAGACGATGCGGTCGTATTCTGCACAACACCATTGTCCTCTGCACCCGATGCCGGCCTTATTCCCAGCGGATTCATTAAGACGGCTCACTTTGCTACTGGAGCCGGTTACGTTCAAGTTACTGGGACAATAGACAGATCAAAATACAATTTGAGTAGTAGTGACGGAGGCGGTCAGTATGACAGTGTAGGCGCTCCTCCCAGAGCAACTTGCGCTAATAGCAACAAGTTTGTGGAATTGGTTGAACCCGACATAGAACTGTTCTGTATCCGTTGCTGCACTGACAAAAAGAAGTGTAATACGGGGGAAAGCACCGAGGGATGCGAGCATGTTATCCCTGGCGATTACAGCTAAGACAAACATTCGTGTCGTGTTAATAAGGTTTTAACAATTGCTCTGGAAATGTTGTGTAATTACAAGTGTCAGATAATCGTATAATTTGCTGTTTATTATTATTATGTATTATTTAACTGTATAATTAGAATAAATATTGTTTCAAGAACCAAAGTACTAGTGCTCGGTTGTTGTTTTTTTTTTTTTTTTTAATAATGGGAGCTGCTATAGTTTCCATACAAGTCTCGATGTTATTAACTTGGCTAACTTGGAGAGATTACATTGGCGAAAACGTTAATTAAGAATGTCCCTGCCAAGGGGTCCGTATTATTTCATCGACAATCATTTCACCGACAGTACATTTCACCGACAATTAACTACCAAAAAAGGACAACTTCGAAATAATGTTGGTGAAGATTTGTCGGTGAAATGATTGTCGGTGAAATGATTGCCTCCCCCTGCCAAGTTATGGTATACTGCCGATCAATTATGAGAATGTGTACTAAAAGTAGCAACCACAATGTCGTTGTCATGTAGATCTATACAATATTAACTAAGCATTACTACTTTAGTTTTGTAATACGACATCTAATCACCAATCGTACTGCTGATCACTTACGAATATTAATTAAGCATTACTACTTTAGCTTTTTAATTCACCAATCGTCCGAGTAGATCAATTATTAGCCCCGTTCACGTATTTCAACATTAGCCGAATTCAGCATCAGCCGTGACAATAATCAACCAAATAATATCTTTCCGTTTACAGCTTAACCTAGATACCAAACCAATGCCTGTTTGATATTTACGAAATAACATTACAAGATGACAAAATGTCTCCAAAACATTAAAAGCAGGCGAACAATTTTGTTGTTGATAAAGAATACCTACGGTAGAAGTAACGCTTTTGAGAAAGTCTGTAGTAATTGATACTGCATGGCATCTAATGGAAATTATTTACAATGTCAGTTTTACCGTGCTATCTTTCGTATCATAAAATAATATATTTGCTACATGAGTATCTCATTTGCAAGCTTATACAGTATTGATTATAATCAACTTAGCGAAATCCGATGTTTTCAGAGCTGTTTTATATTTTCATTAGCTACGAGTTTGTAACCCGCCGCTTCGCTGACGGTCCAACTGCATACCTGTAGTGTGTAACCGTACATAACGATGGAAATAAACTATTAAGCACTATAATCATTCCTCCTATATTATATAAACATATGACTTTATTATATATCAAGTCTTAATGGTCAGATTCTAAATCTAATAAAACTGCTTAATTTCGCTCCGAGATATTTGTTGTAATGCTCAGGTCTGCGTACATCTTTTGTAACACCTCTGGATATACCGTACATCGGGCCTGTTATTAGAATCTTCAGGCTTTGTCTAGACGTAGTCCTAGAGCAAGCAACATAAAGTTGGCCATGAGAAAATACCGAGTCGGCAAATAAACTCCTACGTAATTGCCTTGTTGGTGGTCATGGCAAAGGCAGTTGTATGCGGCATTCAAGTAATCGCGTTGGACGAAATTCGAAGAAGAAAGGCACGTGATCCAGAAAAATCACACTGTCGCAAATCCTAAAACTATACTGGTGCGGTGCCAGTTCCCGCATTTCTGTGTCTCTTGATATTAATATTAGTCATAGTTTCCGGGAAAATGTTATAATTTTACCGAAATCTATGTATCACTGTACGGATGAATGCCCGATTTTAGTCTACTCAGCCGTACTGTAATGCCTATTCTCGTATTACTATTATAATTACTGTCGGGAAAATTAACCAATGGGTAGAAAGTCATCTGTTATATAAGGATACGATCAAGTTGTTTTCCAATGCAAACCTAACGAAAAAATTGATTTATATAAAACACATAAGATACATGATGGAAATCAATGTTGAGATTACTAAAGCAATTGGATTAGCATTCGCGGTTATAATACTTAAATATGTAGTCCAGGTAAGAATTGCAAGAGTTTGCAGAATGCATTACGTTTGTTTCGTATTAATATACTTATGCATTTGATAGACAATCTATACTGCGTTCTATGGTCCAATAAGTAACTTCCCTGGACCAAAGCTATCCTCGTGGAGCCGCATTCCATCATATCTCAAAGCAATGCAGGGTCAAAGGTAAAAATACTTTCTACTTAATATTAAGCCTAAAGCTTCATCCGCTTTCGATCAAGCTTTTTTTATGTTGACTTACGATTAGATGGCGTTGGACTCAACTTGAGTTGACACCCAAATACGGGAAAATATGGAGACAAGGTGAGAGCTGTTGTATTGTAACTTAATTGTGTATATTAATATTCTGGTAATAATATTTGATACTTCTTAGCTCCAGACATACTCTTCGTTTCTGATAAATATATTGTCAAGGAGGTACAGACACTTTTGTATGAGATTAGTAGCTGAAGTTTTAAACTCGTGCATATGCGAATCTCGTGATTGATTTTTTGATTTTTTGATTTAATATTATAAAAATTCCAGATTATTGTTCACAAGGTAAGTTAATGTTTTACTGTTGACGACGTCTATTATTATTTTTTTATACTTAAGCAGTATTTAAATTTATAATAAACAGGATTGGCCAAAGAATGAGTATTATTCCTACTATAGAGCTGCACCACATTTGCATACATTGTTCTCAACAAAGTAAGCGTTCTCTTCCAAGCAATATTTGGTTACAGTTACCGTATAACTCTAATTTAAGTATATTCTAATTCACCACAAATAGCGATAAGGCATTTCATAAACAACGTGCAAGTATACACGGTCTTAGATAAAACGTCGATAACCTTTTTGAAATACTTATTCCGTCTTTGATTTCAATTTGTAGCGTCGATTACTCTCACCCGCGTTTTCGGTTAAATATCTTCGGTCTCTTGAGCCGTTGGTCGCAAAGTGTGTTCGTCACTTGATTGAAAAGCTTAACTCTGTGATAAACGAAAATGCACCAAACGAAGGAGCGGTCGTAAATATTTACAGAATGATCAATAATACAACCTTGGTATGAAACATTAATTATGTATAATAGATTATATAATTAATAATTAATACAACATCAATTATCAAACTATAGGATGTAATTGGGGAGACTGCTTTTGGAGGTAGTTTTAATATGATTCAAAATGGAAATCATCCACTACCAGGTGAAGTCGTTCTTGAGTTAAGTAGGCGCATTATGGTATGTAAACTATAGCATTTTGCTTCTTCATTGTTCCAGAAAATATTGAGGTTGCCCAGCAATCTACTTGTCGGCGCATATATTACAGCATCACTCTAATCACTAGCGGCCAACCATTTAAATATCAAAGAAAGGAGCTGCGATTTTGTAGTATTTCGTTTGCACTTAGACTTAACATATGCAATTGCACGAATAGTACTATTATTGGATATAATGGCGAACACTTGAATGGGACCATGCTAACGATTCGATTTCAAAAATTACATATAACCCATTGTTGTTACAGAGAAATCTATTCCCTATACTAAAACCGTTTATGAAAAATAATGGATATATGTACGAAGTAAGTGTAACTTGCTGGTCTAGTCAAAATTCATTAACTATGATGTAACCATATTAATATCTATTTTTTAAAAGTTTTCGAGGAATCTCATTAACCAACGGCGCCAAGAAACCGGTACCAAAAAGAAAGATATTCTTCAGATTATTCTTGATGTCGGTGAAGAAGAAGCATTATCGGACATCGACATTTATGAACAGATCAATGAATTCATTATTGCTGGGAGTGATACGACGAGCTTTAGCACTTTCTTTACCATATTGATGCTTCTAAAAAATCCGGATAAGTTGTCCAAACTTATTGAGGAATTGGATAATGAATTTGTTGATTTACCAAGAGACGAAATACCAGACCATGACAGACTAAAGACACTACCATATTTGAACGCTGTCATAAATGAAGGAATGAGGCTATGGCCCATTACATTGGGTAAGTGATAGCAATGCTTGTTATTTCACGTTTTTAATTGACTAATTTGCTTACGTTTACCGTCCTTGATTTAACAGATGGAGGTAATATCTCTATAGCACCCAGTGTATAGTTACGAGACCATTGGACTGCCGCTCAATAACTTTTACAATATGCAATTACTGCTAATGTTTAGGTAGCGGACGTGTTGTCCCAGAAGATACCATGATCAACGGAGTATTCTTCCCCAAGGGTATTCTGGTAGTTACTAACTACTATGCTATGCACACTTCTTCTGAATATTGGGGCGAGAATGTAAAGGAATTTGTTCCCGAGCGTTGGTTTGAGCCAGACGTACCACGTGATGCATTTTATCCGTTTTCAGCTGGTTCACGGAACTGTATCGGACAAAAGTAGGAATATTAATTAATATATATTACAAATGGAAGCGTTTGTATGCGTGACTAACATAAGTTTTGTTATAACAGCTTTGCGTGGTTAGAAATGCGTCTTATTATCGTGTCACTTTGCAGGCTCTTCAGATTTGAAGATATCCCAGGGCAGGATCACTGGGACATTGAACAATACCTAACACCCACTCTTGCGAAAAATGAGTATAATATTCGCGCATGGATTCGATCTTAATTGCAACAATTATCGTTATATTACAGTTTATTGGATATATAATCGTAAACATCTCTGTGTTGTTTAATAATTCGCATTTGAATTAGTGCAACTAATAACTATATAATAAACTTACATTGTTACGTACTAATACATTGTTACATGTTTGCTAAAGACTATTGTATAACTTTATCACTTGTTTGGAGAAGTCGGAACGTAGTAATTGAACGTGTAAATAGTAATAGGCAGTCTTGCCCTTCAGCTGCCATATGTGGTGTGATGTTTGGATCCAGTATTACCATCAAGACAATCTAGTCATATGAACTTTATTAGTGATTGTGCGACAAACTCTCTGGTGAGCTTTGGTTTGACGAATTAGAAAATGGGTTTCCAACATAACAGGTTTCCGCCTTAAAAGGTCATTACATCAAAATGTCATTTATATTTATCAAGAACTTGTTGACAGCTAGTTAATTTTTGGCAGCAGCAATGACATGTAATAGCAAAAAATCGCTATCTTCTCTTTAGCCTCCAAAATTGGAATGTCTAGTCACATGTACTGTTCTTGTGACCATTGAAGGACCGCTCACGTGTCCAATTGCATGAAGTTAAAAACGCCGTCTGTGAATTTCTGCGCTATTACTATTATCCAATATGCGTCGAGCCAAAATCTTCGCAGGGACTTCTCACCAAGAGCTAGCACATAGTATCTGTGAATGCGTCGGTATTCCGCCTGCTCCAGCTACTCTCAAGAGGTTTAGTAATAAAGAGACTTCAGTGGAAATCGGTAATAGCATTTTACCCAGTGTCTACGAACTCTTTTATTAACAAGCCTTGCACTTCCGCATATTGCCTAATTGTCGTCTCATGATTTACCACGGATTTGTATACCAAATAATCTATCTGTATTAGGATGCTCTGTTCGCAACGAAGATGTGTTCATTATCCAATCCGGTTCAACAAATGTCAACGATCATCTCATGGAGCTACTCATTATGATTGCAGCATGCAAAGGTGCATCGGCAAAGCGTATCACGGGTAATACAACACGATAAATTTTGGCACTTTGATAATAGATTATCTTTACTAGCTCATCACAAAATTTCTTCATGTATCATCGCGTCACAGCTATCATGCCGTATTATCCTTATTCGAAGCAAAGCAAGAAGAAGAAAGCGCGAGGGGCTATAGCAGCTAAAAGTACATGTTTTATAATTTGAGAAGAATCAATTCGAGACGAGCTGCTTGATGTATTAATCCTTTGTTAGGAGGGGTGAGCTTGACTGATGAACATTATTTCATCAACCTTTCACAATCGGAACGATAAGTGGTAGCCAACCTTCTCTCCGTCGCGGGTGTAGATCATGTGATTACGATGGACCTTCACGCATCTCAAATGCAAGGCTTTTTTAACAAGCCAGTAGATAATCTATCTGCCGAGCCGCGTATTGTTCAGTGGATAGAAGATTCCGTTCCTGATTATGCTAACGGAGTAGTGGTCAGCAAAAATGCTGGAGGAACAAGAAGGTTTGTATGTCAATAAGGTTGACAGAAATTCAAAGAACGATTCATCCAGTATTGTAATATCCAATTTTTGACCTGCAATATTTGCTCTTTTTTTCTCTTCTCTTCTTAATTCTTACAGAGTGACATCACTAGCCGATAGACTTAAGATTGACTTTGCTCTTATCCATACAGATTATAATCGTGGGCCGCATCGTAATTCATATGATTTACCAGATTCATGTATATCGACCGATGAAACTGAGAGACATCAATTGATGATTAGCCAAACGCTTCATTCTACACATAGTGATAACGCGTCAACGTCCGCTGTGAATAATTATGATAATGGCCATGACAACGCTGCAGTGGGGGGCGAATCGGCGTCACATAGTGCATCTGCGTCAGTAATAGGAGAAATTTTGACAGCTGCAGATACGGAAACAGACAGGACAACTAGTTTGGTGGGAAACGTTACCGGGAAAGTTGCATTTATTGTTGTGAGTATAATATCAGTGTTCTTGATTTTTGATATCCAATGTTGCGTATGGCAATTTATATCTCATTATGTAACTGAGCAGGCTAATCTTATTTTAATCACACTGTTTACTAGGATGATCAAATAGATAAAGCAACTTCTTTTATTGCAGCCGCCGAGCATCTAAAGAAATGTGACGCCAAACGTATATATGTAATTGCTACTCACGGTATATTGAGTGGAGATAGTATCAAAAATATAGAGAACTGTTCAGCCATACACAAGGTGAGTTACTGAATTCGCCATGAGCAAACAGTTAGAATAGAACTGATTCGATCTTTTATTGATCAACATTTATAGCTTGTTGTCACCAATACTTTCCCTATTCCGCCGGAGAAGAGACGTCAAAGTTCCAAGCTCGTTATTATTGACGTCTCTACTACTTTTGCAGAGGCCATCAGAAGAACTCATTATGGAGAAAGCATTAGTTTTCTATTCTAGCGAAATAATTCTGAGTTGTCCACAGTTGATATGTGTCGTTAGTAAATGTGTAAATCAACATAGAATAATAATAGTTTGATAGTTAGCGTATGTTATTAATCATTCTTCCAACAGAACAACAGTATATACAGATGCGACTAGTGCAGCCAGGGGCTGCTGACATGCCAGTTGGAAAAGAGTTGATTAGCGCCAGTTCTATAAAACCTTTTGGATTACCAGGATTCTTACGAACGCTGTGATATTGTATAAAATATTGTTGGTTCATGATATGAGTCGATGGTTCTGAATGGATAATAAAATTATTAATCAGTTCATACAACGTATTGCGGCATAATTTTTGATGACCTCATTTTGATAGCAGTTAATGCAAAGATTGTAGGAAAGGTCCAGGAGATAATTATCAATGTTCTGTGGAAGTTGTTCAAACATTCCTATTACCATGATGAAATTTAAGTTATTAACGGCCCATGTCAAACTGGAGTATCAAATACGAGTTTTTGGATAATAACCGCGTTTGGCTATTCCTAATATGGACATTAAAGTTATGAACTAACCTCGTTCTATGAGCGCTTTAGCTAAAAGCAATATTTTGATTCTACGATATTTGGCGTTATTATTTCAACCTATTAGCAAACAGCTAAATAGCACAACTGACCGATACTTGTGTCAATACTGGAGTATCAATGTGAGATAAATCTAAAATGTTTAATCAAGCTTCTTGAATATTGTCCAGCAAATAGGCGTCCTTCAAGTCTAGGCTCAGACTTATTATTATGCGTGTATAGTTTTTTCAGAGATCTTGCTTGTTATTTAGACAATGCTTATAAGTCAACATGGTTTATTATTCAGTAAAAATTTATTTTCTTATTCCGTCACTATGTGTTTTGACAACTCCAGGATTGGCTGCTTCAAATACAAAATGCTGATATTTTTGTAAGCCACTCAATTTTTTAAAGAAAATTCCTAACACAGAATTAAGATCTAAGTATTGAAAGCCTTTTCCATCGTGATAACACTGAGATTGATTAAATCCAGCTGTACTTGATTTTTTCACAACCTCAACAATATGATCCACGCAATCTACTGTTGTCTTTCTATAGAGTTTCTTAATCAATCCAAAACTACTACTACCATCACACTTGAATTTAGTATGTCCAGGTATCATGAAATTTAATTCGATACTTTCATAATAACCGCAAATTACTAAATATTAATATAGGTAAAATCAAATGGTAGTATTATTTTTATTCTGCCCTCCTGCATTATCACAAGTAATCTTTAGACGTTTTTCACCTTTATTCAATCTCTTAATCCCATCGAATACCATGCTCAATGTACCATTCGGACCTTTCCCTATAATTTCGTCTTCATCAAGAATGTAATTAATTTGTTCGCGTACTGCTTCATCTTGAATGCCAAATAAACGCACTTTACGCGGACTGAGATAATAAATCTTGATCGGAATGTGGAACGTGAACACTTTGCGCTCAATCGTAACTGTAATGAGCAGTAGCGTCAATGCTACAATAATCAGCTTTACCTCCTGTTACAACGTAATTATCATCTACCAATTTCCTCTGCTGTTCTGCTAATTTCGTATTTTGTTGTAATAATTTCTCTCTAATTTAGCCTTAACTAGATGTTCTTTGAATTTTTTCAACAGATCTTTTGCTTCTTCCTCCTTACGAGCATTATACTGCAGGCCGTTCCGAAAATGTTGGCACGTGTCACATAAATCGGTTCTTGGACTCATGATTTGAATATAAGGCGTTAATTGGTGCCATAACTTGCGAAACACATCATATTTTAACGATTTCAACGTGCTATCGTTTTCGAAACCTGCCATAAAATTACGATAGACCGATTTATAACTCGTTTCGGCTGGCAATAGTGTAAGCGATTGGGTAATTCGATTGACGTTTCTACCAGGACTTGGTAATCCATGTATTTCAACATGGTTTTCGAGAATTTTTTAACGGAAGTAGCAACAGTTATATCAATGGTTATTTTGGTCTTTCATCGCGGCATTCGTTTTATGTTACCATGAACACGCGGTATTATACCATGCGTTGCCAGACGATTTCTGACGTTTTTTCGAAGTGTGTGCGACCGATTCCCAACATGTTTTTTGACAAAGCGATGTATTGCGATCTCAGTAGTAAAACGTTCGCTTATTAGTACACGTTTTCTTTTTAAGACGTCGACTGGCAGTTATTTCTCCACCATTCATCGCTTTCAGCTGGGCCATTAAAAATAAATCTTGCCCGGGTCTAGAGAGAGCTTGGAATGCTTCACGTAATTCGGCAAACATTTTTCTCGGAATAATTTTTGAACAACTACAATTGCAACCTATCTCCAGGAAACGCATTGCTTTTTCATATTCGGTAGAACCATTATAATTATAATTATCATTCTTCATATACGGGTATTCCTATATATTATTTTTATCATCAATGGTAATATGCTCAACTGAACAAGTCTGAATATATGCTAAGCAATTTTATTGACACAAAGATCACTAATAGACAACACACTATTACTATTGAAGCCACTATCTAGCACATTAATTAGATCCACTATTATTATAGTTTATTTAACCCATGCATTCAGATATTACTTTGTATTCATGCAGTAAACACCACATTTTCTGGTGCACACACTAACATGGTATGACAGGATAGTTGTAAAAGCAACTCAATATACAGTGTGTTACAAAAGTTTTTGCAAAAAAATTGGCATAACAAAAATACGCGTAGTTCTTCCAATTTTGTATCAAATCGCGTCACGTAAAATGCATAATAAACATAAACATTTGTACTATAAATTGACATGTTTGTATACCATATTGCTTATGTATTATAAACAATTCTAATTAAACATGTCTCCAGTATCAGAGAAAGAACAACACCGTCAAGTTTTATTACATTTTTGGAACCAAGGAGTGCATACTGCCAAAGAGCTTCATAATCTCACAAATATATCACTTCAAACAATATATTATAATATTAAAAAATTAGAAAAAAAAAAAGGTAACAACACACCTGACAATAGAAGCGGTCGACCAAAGAAGATTACTGCAGCAGGTTTGAGAATACTAGGTCAACAAATTCGACGCAATTCTTCAAATCTCTCAGAACATTGGCAACTAGACTGTCAAAAGAAGGTATCAAAGCATCGTATGTGACTGTCTCAAGGCATCTGAAAAGTATTGGTTATAAAAAAAGTCTTCCAGTTGCAACACCAATGCTTAACCCAGACCATAAGAAAAGACGTGTTGAATGGGCCAAAAAGCATCTTAACGATAGCTGGAAGAAAACACTATTTACGGATGAGACAGCCTTTCAACTCTTCCGTAATACCATAAAACGCTGGCATAAAGGCGAAAGACCAGTCCGCCCTCTTCCGAAAGATCGAACAAAGATTCTTGCATGGGGTGGATTTTATATAGGCGGTAAACCCAATTTGTTTTGTTTTTTTCGAAACATGGACGCCGCATTCTATGTAGAAATACTTCAAAAACATATCCCAGAGGTTTATCAAATGATGGGAAATAAATGGCGGCTCCAACAAGATAACGATCCAAAACATACCAGCCGCCTAGCCAAATCATTCCTTCAGGAAAATGTTCCTAAAGTTATTGACTGGCTTCTGACCTCAACCCCATTGAAAACCTCTGGGCTATTGTTAAGAATAAGGTGGAAAAAAGAATGCCCCAAAATCGTGGTGAACGTTTTACGGTTGAGGAATGGAATGCCATTCCTGATGATGTCTTAAGAAATTTAGCGAAGTCAATGCGAGAGAGATGTGAAGCAATTATTGAAAAAAATGGGGAACGAATCTCGTTTTAATTAATACCAATAAAAACTACAACTTTTTAACTTTAAAACAAGGTATTTTTCATATTACTCAGAGCAATGGTTGTGCCGTAGTGATAAATATTAAATTTGCAAAAACTTTTGTAACACACTGTATTTCTAGACACACTTCTTTAAAGGCACGATAAAGTAAATCCCGTATTTCTTTAGCTGTAAGCTTAAGCTTGGGTTTAATTTTATCAAATTTTTCTCTAGATAAATCAAAATCGATAAAGGGATGAATTCATGCAATGAATGACCTGTACGTTCACTAAGCATAGCTTCTATTCCATCTTCGGTATCTGTACCGAGAAACTGTCTTGGCTTTACACTATCATCACGAATTTTATACATATATTCAGCCACGCTCTCAGCTTTAAACCCCCGGTGGTAGAAGGCCCCGTTATTTTCTTCCTCTATCTCTATCTCTGGCTCGAAATTTTGGTTATCCACGGTTGGGACATCGGATGATGCGGGTATAATAGGCATGTTATATTCACTTTGGGTATTCATGTTTGTTCTGAAAGTATATTGCTCGGAATTAAAAAGTTCAAAATGAAAATTAATTCTAAAGAATATTGATCAGTACATATTATATACTCAATCGAGATAAACATCAAAAAGAATGGCATTTTATCATTGCCCATATATACTTAGAAATGGGAAAATATGTAACCAAGGATGTTATCAGCCTGAAGGGTGTAAAGTTCACTGGGATTCTCCACCACGCGTACCTTGTAAAGAATGTGGTAAGTTGACCTATTCTGGATATGACTATTGTGATACTCATGCAGATAAATATCGAAGACGGGATCGATATCAGCGGAAGAAGCTGGAGAAGATTGCGCAAAAATCAGATGCTTGGAGAAAATAGATAGCGAGAGAGTATACAGACATAGTCCAATCAAGTGTCACAAGTTGTCACGAGTTCGTCTCAAGTAAAAAAATCGGTAGAAAGGTGGGTTCTTGGAAATCTGAGTTCAAAAAAAACCGTTCTCGATAACTGTCACAGCTGTCACAAGTTTCTTAGGTTAATTTGTTGAGTCCCGCCTTTTTTTATTTTTTTTTCTATGGGTATACGATATATCGAAGGTAAGTATCAGGTATATATCATAGTAGGCTCGAAGAGCCATTGCTTTGCAATAGAAATAGCGCACATAGCATAGTATATATTGAGGTAGGTATATGCGCATATAACATAGATAGGTACGGGTATAGATATAGTGCATATAACATAGATAGGTATCAGATACAGATATAGTGCATATAACATAGGTTGGTATCGAGTGTATATCGGGTGTACAGGTATACCATAGGAAAGAGTTTTATTTTTTTCTCTTAGAATTCTACTATTTTACTTAAGTAACTTGTGACAGATATAAAGAAGTAATCAAGAAAGAAATGAAAAGGCTCAAGACTCTCAAACAGGCGTCACAAGTTCTGTCACAAGTACTTATAAATAACTAGTGACAACTTGTGACAAAAATATCGATATATTTCAATAGATCAAGGTAGGTGGATATATCTTGCTACTAGGGCTAATCATAAATAAGGTCTCCACTGGCACTACGTGGCTTGCGTAATAAAAGAAATGTAATCACTGCTAACATACATTATTTGAATAAATATATAAGATTCAAAAAATACCCGATAGCATATACATGATAGTATTATGATAGCATTTTTTCGTGATATACTCTATTGCTTTGCAATGGCTCTTCGAGCCTACGAAGTAGGATGCTTTGCATCTAGCATACATATAGCATGTCCCGATTGCATTAATTTTTCTATTAAATATTCTATGCGGTATATTGTTAAAGAATTTAGCATAGATATGATTGATATATTTGGTGACGAAGAAGTATACAACGAGGAATATGAAGTTGAAGACTGTCATGTTCACAGGAATTCTCCTATGTGTACACCATGTAAAAAGTGTGGTAAGTTAACTTTTTCTAAATATAACGCCCGTATAATGCATGCTGGTAAGTATCGATCTCGAGATCATTATCAGCGAAAAAGGCTAGAGAAAATGGCAGAAAAATCAGAAGTGCTTAAAGAAAACTCATAGCGATATTGATATCATACCCAATAGCATTTGCGCGATTATTATTTTTATTTATGCGGTATATAAAATGACAACAATGCAAGATCGCAAGAGCAAGCTAACTCAAGCTATCGATAAAATTTTTTTTTGACGACAGAAATCCGATTATGCCACATGTGGCTTGATATACACCTTAGTGCGTGTCGTAAAAAGCAAAATGTACGTCACTCAAGCGTGACCTAAAATGCAAAACGCACGCCATAGTGGTGCATGTCTCAGTGGTCACAATCGGCGTAAAAAGCAAAATGCACGTCACTCGAGTGTGTCGAAAAAAGCAAAACACACGTCATTCTCGGGTGGGTTATAGTCCATACCACTCGTGGAAACCTAGTTATGACTCTTGTAACTAAGTTGTGACAAGGTTGTTTCGATCTTGACAGGGCACAGTAAGATTTTCAAATACTGGAGAATTCTGTAAAGGTTGTCAAAGCTCAGATGGTTGCTAATGGTGCTCTTACTGAACTGAAATTATCAAAGAAATTAAATCCTTTTTCTAATACTAACCTCTCTTCTTATAAAAGACAAGAATATCTTTGTCATAATATTCGCCCATTTTTTAGAGACGAATTCAAAGATATTACTTGTCCAAGACCAACCTATACTGGCAACGAATAAAATATTTAGACTGAAATCCTCTCCAAGACTAACCCAATAAATTTAGTTTGTTAATTTATTACGTGTCGGTTTATAGCAAAATTTGCTTAGTATTAGTATTAGTATTAGCATTAGCATTAGCATTAGTATTAGTATTAGTATTAAGTTTTTAACAACTAATTGTATATAAATATAGTAAGCATCTTACTTTTCCCGAATAGTATAGATTATCTCATTAAGATCTAGCACATTATCATAAAAGGGAATCGATTTCTAATCAAAAAGAAAATCTCTTTTTTAATGTCATTCTCCGGAGTCGTCGTCCTAACTGATCTCGACGATTACATTGCACCTTCCCAGGCTTGTATTTTGCCTGTAGAAGTGAAAAAGAACGAGAATGAAGGAGCCAGGGTTGGTTTAAAGACGATTTCGGCGATAATGTGCAAAATATATACTGACAGAGTTCATCGAAAGTGTGTCCATTAACGTCTGCAATACTATTTGCTTTTGATATTATTAGACGTCAATAGTGGTTGATGATTTGGGAGGATATTATGAAGTATCTGAGAATGGGGCTGAAGTCAAACTCGAACGAGCGAGTATTACTCTCAACGACTGTCTAGCATGCAGGTAAGTAAGCATTTGTTCTTCAAACCTCTACGCATGAACTTTTCCGTTTGTTTAGTATTAATTTTTCGTATCCCTAACTGTACAAAGTGGATGTATAACCTCTGCAGAGAGCATTCTGTTGACGATGCAATCACAGGAAGAGTTATACAAAGTTTTAAAAGCAAACAAAGATGCAACGGAAGCAGGGAATCTGCAAGACGTAAAGACAGTAGTCGTATCGATAGCACCGCAGTCTCGAGCTTCACTTGCTGCAAAGTATGGTTTGACCCCGTTGCAGGTACTGAAAATAATTTGTATATCAACAAAGAATGTGCGAAATCGAGAGATTATTTTATATAATGTTAGTGTACAATATCTAAATTGCTTTTTGCTTTCCCTTGTATACCTACCTCACGGCTCTTGTCCCAACAAAGACTGCAAACCGTTTAACTCATTTTTTCAAATCTCTCGGAGTTCATTACGTCCTAGACACGTCTTTTTCACGTGATTTTTCACTGATCGAAACAGCAAACGAGTTCATCGAACGCTTTCGTGTCTACCAGCAACACCAATCTTCCACCCTACCTTCGCCATCACTTCCTTCTGTCAGGAATGCGTCAAACCCCTCAAGACGGAAAAATGCCATGGGAAAAGGAGTGGGAGCGGGATCGACAGAAAACACGGCGATGACAAAAGCGCGGCTTCCAATGCTTGCATCTGCCTGTCCAGGTTGGATATGTTATGCCGAAAAAACGCATGGGTTCGTATTACCATACATTAGCGAGATAAAGTCCCCTCAGCAGATTATGGGCCTGCTTGTTAAGGATTATATTGCAGAGACACTAGGCTTAAGGTAAATAAGGAAATAGCAAAGGGTTCAGGATGAATTATTTGGTGCAGCATGAAATTCGAGTAGCATACGAACTAGAGTCTTTTATCGATTTCGTTTCGCTTTGAATTTAACACAAGTTATTAACAAACTGTTTATAATATTGTCGCAATCTTATTCTCATATAAAGATCTAGTCAAATATATCATGTCTCTGTTATGATGTGTTATGACAAGAAGCTTGAGGCCTCTCGTTCCGATTTCTTTTCCACGGCGAACCAGACACGCGACGTCGATTGTGTATTAACCACAGGCGAAATAGCTCAAATGTTTCTCGAGAAATCCTTTTCTCTCGCTGACTCTCCCGAAGCACCGTTGGACAGGTTTACAAAGATGACATCAGAGAAGAAGATTCTAGGCAGCTATGGGTCTGCTTCAGGAGGATATTTGGAATATGTTATGAGATGCGCGGCGAGAGAGCTCTTTGGCGTTGATGTGGATGTAGAAAAGGAAAAGGGAGTTGTGGTGAAAATTGGAAGAAACAAGGATTTTAAGGAAGTGGTTCTTGAGGTTCGTAACAATTTTTGCTGTATGGTCATCACTACGTTATATGTCGCTAATTCTATTAATCTTGCATCTACTTTTTCTTAGATAAATTCTAAACCTGTCCTTCGATTTGCACAAGCAAACGGATTCCGAAACATACAAAACCTTGTTCGTAAAATAAAATCAGGATCTTCGCCCTATCATTATGTAGAGGTAATGGCATGTCCATCAGGTTGCATTAACGGTGGTGGACAGTTAAAGCCTGATGAGGGGGAAATACCGCTAAAAGAATGGATTAATCGTGTCAACAATGTGTACAAGTCTGTGGATTGTAGTTATCCAGAAGAGAATGAAAGTGTCATGCGATTGTATGAGTAAGTACGCTTTGCATTAAATTTACATGGGAAGAAGCATAGGGATTGTTGAAGCGTGATTGAGAAGATTTTATGGTATAGTTTATGTATATAACAATCTTTATTTTTTCTTGATAGTGAGTGGCTCGGAGGAAGAGCCTCATCTAAAGCACAGATGATGTTGCGTACGCAGTATCACAATGTCGAGACTTCTCTGGTTAATCCATTGGCCGTAAAATGGTGATTCTAAAATTATTATTTAAAGCATATACATTATAATCAAAAGACGTTGTAATATAGAGCAATACAATTATAGCAATATGACGTGCACCAGTCATATTTAATTAGAACACGTAATAACTAATAAACATTGCAATTACGAATGTGGCATACTAAGATGATTTATGACAAGGGCGCCAGGAGAGATAAATCATTTGGATCAGCTTTATCGGCAGAGATAGGGTTTATCAGACGCGACAGATGCTGTCATACTGGCTTCACGCATCCGATCAAAGTATTAATAGAGATTATGGAAAGATGCGATCGTGATCGGATAAATTTACGTTTGACCCGATATGCATTCTATGTTGTAAAGTAACAGTTGGAATTGTTCATGTTCGGGTTGTTTATGTGCCGGATTAGAATACCATTGTTCAATATAGAGGTGGCCTGCAGCCCTCTTTGAATTACGTGTGATTGGTTGGCAATACTGGTTGTGTCGTGTAATTTGAAATACGCGTAGCATATTAATATACCAACTAAAATGTAGACGAGTTGTTTTTATACATATTATTACGAGTTATTAGTGGCTATTACTATGTTCCACGTGGTTTTAATAAAATCTATCATCAGAAAATTTTTTATTTTTATATTTCACCACAATGTCAACTTCCATATCGCAACCAAAACCAACAACCAAAGTAATTTCGCTTGTACTTGACTCGGGTCCACTAATAAAAAACACACCAATTCATCATCTGGCTCAAAAATTCTATACAATACCCGAGGTACTTAACGAGATACGGGATAAAAAGTCGAGAGAGTACGTTAGTCAATTGCCATTCGAATTAGAAATTAAGAATCCGTCTGAACATGCTTTGAGAGAAGGTAAATTTAAAATCAATTTGTCTTATCCAGATCGTAGAGTGGGTCAACATAAATCAAACTAAGCCATTTCTCTCGCATGAATTGAATAGTTGTTAATTTCGCGAAAAAATCCGGCGATTTTGCTGTATTGTCAGCAGTTGATATAAGAGTGTTGGCATTAACTTATATGCTTGAAATTGAAGCTAATGGAACGTCAAGAATAAGAAAAGAGCCAATAAAGGTTTGATTGGAATTAGATGAATGGTGGAGGATATTAAAAATATAATATGGCTAATGCGAGATATATATTTTGTATGTTCGACTCTTTAGCCCACAACACGTCAAGGAGGAGCAGTGAAAAACGAAGCTAAGAACATGATTATAAGGGAGGATCAGGAGAAGAAGGAAGAAGTTGATCGCGCAACTGGTAATAGTGTTGATGATGGGAAGGAAGTTGATGATGGGAAAGACGTTGATGATGGGAAAGACGTTGATGATGGGAAGGAAGTTGATTATGGGAAGGAAGTTGATGATGGGAAGGGCGTTAATGATGGGAAAGAAGATGATGATGGAAAAGACAATGATTGCGATAATAGTCAAGACGCTGGGGAATCTGCTTGCATAGAAGAAAACTGTCGCAATGATGTGCCTACTACGGACGTACATGAAAAGGAAGAACACCGTGGCGGGAATGATGGTGGCAAGAGTGACAATGACAGTGATGGAGAGTGGATCACTCCTGATAATATTCACAAGCATCAAGCAAAAGAACGTAGTCACATTGCTAAATCGGCCAAATCTCAAAAAGAAGTTTATATGAAAGTCGCTTGTATGACTGTGGACTATACAATGCAGGTAATAAGACGCATTAAATTTAAAGTCTTGATTTATTATAACAACAAGATTAATACAATCAATCCAATTCAATACACCGCATCAGAATGTTCTTCTGCAGATGAGACTGAATCTTATTGCTGCTGATGGAATGAGAATTAAAAGAATAAAGAATTTTGTGCTCAGATGTCATGCATGTTACAAGTATGTATCCAATAAATTAAATACAAACTCTAAAACGCATTCTTATACTGTTTAATGAATTTAACATCACGTTCACTTCTTACAATTATTCCAACATCAATAGAATAACGACTAATATGGAAAAACAATTTTGTCCAACATGCGGTAATGCAACTCTCATTCGAACATCTACAACAACAGATGAAAATGGAAACGTTACTTACTATCTCAAGAAAAATTTTCGATACAACCTCAGAGGAACAATTGTAGGCATATCTCGTAAATTACTTGGTTGTAGCACTGTGTAAATGTTAGAACGAGACAATGTAGTATAGTGCGTTATTCTCTTTCACACATTACAACACACACTCAAACTAACTTTCTTCATTCAACAAATACGCCTGTAACTTCTCTTACTCGAACCGTCTCCAAGTATCCAATTCCAAACCCCCAGGGCGGAAAGAATGCTAAAAATCTTGTGCTCCGCGAAGACCAACAAGAATATCAAAGGGCTCTCAGGGCACACCGAAAACAAAAAACGGTTGACATATTTGATCCTGATTACGTTCCAAACCTACTGATTGGTGCCAGTCCGCCTGCAGCAGTGGGCCCTCCAATTATTGGATATGGGAAACGAAACCCGAATGAGCGACGAGGGAGAGGAAAGAGCAATAGAAAGAAATGATTGAAAAAGTGAGTTTTGGTAATGAAGAGAAAGGAAATAGTATGGCTGTGGCTTTACACAATTGGGTGATTGGACTTTAGGGCTGGTCTTTGGGTATAGTTATAAGCTACGTTTATTTATTGGTTGTTTTTTTTTTTTTACACTGGCAAAAGCAAGAACGACACACACACACACAACTGTAAATTAGTTGCATAATAGCTATATTCTATTCTTAACCAATAGTTCCTCCATCAAATTTTCTCACCTCTTCGTTCATCCAAGTTCTTTGATTGACTTGATATCTTGGATCCACCTTAATTCGCTAGCTAATTCAGGATGCTCCTTCCTCACCCAATCAATAACTTCAAATTCGTCTTCTCTTTTCTCCCAAGCATGTAAGTAAGTCAACAATGCTCTCAATGTTCTCTGTGAGGGTTTCAACCCCAGCTCTTTCATCTCTTCAATGAGCACTCTCTTTGCTTCTTCAAATATGCTGTGTCTTGCCAATACCTCAATGTAGGACGTCGCGTTTTCTTCGTTTAACTCGAACCCATTCTGTTTGAGGGAATTCCATATTTGCGTAGTCCGATGCATTTGGTAAATTGATCCACATGAATCCAGAACTATCGAAACGGTTGTATTGTTGATAGGGTAGTTATTTGCTATCAACAAGTCAAAAATACTCAAAACCTCAAGGCTGGCACCTAGACAATTGTATGCATCCATAATTGCATTATATAAATCAATATCGATATCAATGTTCAGATCAACTTTTATCATATTATGAATTTTCAAAACTCCTCTGTCGTCCCCCACATTGGAAAAGCCCCGGATGAGAATTGCGTACGTCTTTGTGTTGGGTGAAATACAAGAGTAAAGCATTTCGGAGAAGAGGCTTTCGGCATCGTGCATCTGTCCAGTGTCCGATAGAATTTGGTAAAACGCGTGATATGCCTCGAGTCCTAGTGGAATGTTTTGGGATTTAAGCGTATTGTAGCATTTCCAGGCCACTTCCGTGCGGCCGTGACGCATTAACTCTGTAATAATAGAGACGAGTGGAGATATACTTTCCAAAGACAAAGAAGAAGTAGAAGATGAGGTCTGTCGAAGACCGTTGTTGCTGTCCGAAATTAATGTTTGTAAGAGAGACTCAAACAATGCATAAGCAGCCTCAATGTCATTATTTCTTAAATAGGCTCCTACTAAAGCGCAATAAATCTCATTATCAATTTTAATGTCGTTCTTCTTCATTTCCTCATAAATTTTTATAGCCGACTTGACATCACCCGCCGAATCGTTACATATATCCACGATCAATCTCGCATACGTTCGTTCGTTCGGCTGAATTTTAGTTTTTATCTCTTCTAACCCCAATGCCTCCATCATGCCAGCATTTTTGGGTGTAATTACTGTTACTTCTAGTCGTTCATCAGATTTTTTCTGGAGTCTGTTTGTTAATCCTTCCGTGTATAGTCGACATGCGCACTTTGGTGTGTAGCTGGGTATGTGACATTGTTGCGGGGAGTAAAAAGTATTACGCAGTTGTTTTGTTGAGACAACTGTTGCTGTATTGAATGCTCTTCTGCGATACGACGAAAGAATGTAAAATGAACTTCGAACATTCACCATATTAACTTCGTCGAAATTATTTTTGAGATCACATAAGCTGGTAGATGAAGCAATCTGTGCGACTGAACAAATTTATTAGTTGTGTAACTTTCCTTATTATTATTATACAGCTATTACTGATATTAAACCACAAGTCTGGGTTTTCCTATAAGCTCAAAGTTATTTGGCACACAATTTTGACGCGTTTCATAAAGTCAAAAAAGAAATCCTACAATAAAACTAACCATCTCGAGTCAATTTCGACTATTTAACATTCTTTTAATCAGCGTACTTGCAAAAAAATTTTCATGCCTCAATAGCTTTGGCTTTTTCCATGATGGTTTGTGTTAGGACTCGAACCGCCTGCGTCTCCAGCGGATCGTCTAATCAGTAGCTCTTAATTTTATCATGCCTCAAAAGTCGAATACTCATTCGCTTATAATCTACACTCAGCTACCTCCCAATATTAAGTGCCAAACTCTTTTTTAACTGACAAGCAGAACATTTAATAGACAATTTAACGACTATGTTTTAATCATTATCTCCTCTTGTAACCATACTTAGCTTGACACTTTGTTGTCAATAATAAATTCCATGCACAACAACTAAACTCGTTCATGTGTGCTTCTGCTCGCAAATTAGTTTTACCTGATCTAACAAAAATCTAAATGGCGCAATTCTCTTCCCGAAACGTGGTAAGAATGCCGTTTGACCTTATATTTTTATGGGTGTTCTTAATATACCATCATAATAACTTTCTCGTTAGACAAGTTGGATATTATTTAATATTAATAACCATTAACGCGTTTCAATATATTAAAAGCCAACGTATTAGAAGTATGCGAAACAGCATTAACAAAGTCGATTTTATTTTGCGTACATGGTTGTCCAACTAAGTGCTGACTTTGAGAAATGCGGTCAGACTAACGGGAGTTTGTGGATAATATTTAAAATTGGAATTTGAATGCTCTCAATATTAATATCGAACATCAACATTTATATAAATATGCTAGTTGCCTTGGAATATGGATCATAAAAATAACTTTAATAGTGTCGTCACACGTTTCTGCAATTTTCAATCTCAACCCTTGCAATCTGATCCCCTGCACTATATAAATTTTTTGCATTTATTGAAAATTTTTTTCGTTTCGTGTCTTCAATAATAAAATCATAATGCTCATACTAGTTGAAAATGCTGCTGGATTTGCTCTTTTTCGATATATTGGAAGCGATACGGATTTTCCTCAAACTATAGCGGCAAACTTTGGATCAACCGAAAAGGCAAAAAGAGCGTACGTATAGAGTTGCATTTGAGATCTCGCGTTTTATACCTGCTCCGTAAGACCGAAGCGTCGATTAATGTTAATTTGATTATCCAAAATTATCTGCCAACATCCAACCACCCTCTAGTGCTAAACTCCAATTATTTCATAAATTTGCTGGTATGGACGAAGCTGTGGAAGCTTGTTCGGCTATAGCAGAGAGTCGAATATCCTCGTCGCTTGACGATTTCCTGAAAGAAGCATTAACAGAGAGCATTAAAAAAAGCGAGAAGTTGGCAGTAGCAGAGCCCAAGCTTGGTATGTATTATAGTCAAAACGATTAAACTTTGTTGCGCCCCCTGTCAATTAGAGTGTTCATAATATACGTGTGCTTTGCTTATCCCATGTCTAATTCATACACGTATATATACCGAATGAATTTGCACAGGAAATGCAATAAGTGAGCGATATGGAATCCAAGTACTCGTAGATGACAGGACTTTGAACTTGTACCGTGGAATCCGCGAACATCTGCCAGATCTTCTCGGTACACTTGCAGTTAAAGAATTATCAGACATGAAACTTGGTTTGTCTCATTCTACGTCAAGACACAATATTCAATTTTCGCCGGATAAAGTTGATACAATGGTCATACACGCCGTGGCGTTGATTGACGATTTGGACAAGGAATTAAATAGCTACACGATGAGGTGTAAGGAGTGGTACGGATATCACTTTCCCGAGATGAAAGACATAGTCACTGACAGCTTGCAGTTTGCAAAGGTTGTTAAGGCAATGAGTATGTATTGTCACGTCTTGAAAACAGTTATACTCGTAAATTTTCTGTGTGAAAATCAATTTTTAATGTTCCATACTATATACAAAAGGTACTCGTGCATCAGTTCGCACGGCAGATTTCTCTGATATTCTTGACGAAGAAACGATTACTCGACTTCGAGATGCTGCCGATACTTCTATGGGTTCAGATATCACGATGGAGGATGCTCTGAACATTGAATATGCATGCGAGCAAATAATAGCTCTTACCAACTACCGTACGGAACTACAGCAATATTTATCTGCTAGAATGGCTGCTATTGCACCAAATGTGACACCGCTTGTAGGCGATTTAGTTGGAGCAAGATTGATTTCTCATGCAGGCAGTTTGATGAGTTTGGCCAAATATCCTTCAAGTACTGTACAGATTTTAGGAGCCGAGAAGGCATTGTTTAGAGCATTAAAGACTAAGCGTGAAACACCAAAGTACGGAATTATTTATCATGCGAGCTTGGTTGGACAAGCGTCAGCTAAGAATAAGGGAAAGGTGAGTTTAAAGTGCGTGTGCGCGTGCGTGTGCGTGTGCGTGTAGAGACAAATGAATATGTGTAAAACGTGTTGGCTAGTGTCGCCATATGAAATAATACGACTAACAATTATTTATTCAAAATCACTGTGTAGGTCGCTCGAACTCTTGCATCAAAGCTGGCATTATCTATTCGTGTCGATGCAATCGCAGAAGAGAAGGATGAAACAGGAGAACTTGGTAAAGCGAGTCGTGCCTATCTTGAGAAGAGGGTGGGTCAATTGGAGGCACGGTTGACAAATACTAAGACCAAAGACAAGACAAAAAAGAAAGAAGTAAAGTCAACAAAACCCAAGTATGGATATAAATCTTGTATTTAAATCACTGTAATTAGTTGATTTGTTGATTAATAATTCTTATCTTCACAATTTTCACATGTATTTAGAGATGCTGGTTCATATAATATTTCTGGAGATGTGGTTAATGTACAAGCGTCTAGCTCAAGAGTGATTGAGAAAGATGAGATGCAAGTAGAGTCTCCGATCAAATCATCCTCAGAAGAAACGTCTACTAAGAAACGTAAACAACTCGGGGAAGCGGAGACAAAATCAAGCAAGAAAGCGCGGTTAACAAGTGATAATATCAAGGGCAAGATAAAAGAAACGAAACAGGAAACAAGATCAGAGCCAGAGCCAGAGTCAGAGTCAGAATCAGAGCCAGAGCCAGAGTCAGAATCAGAGTCAGAATCAGAGTCAGAAGAGTCAGAGTCAGAGTCAGAATCAGAGTCGGAGTCAGAGTCAGAGTCAGAGTCTTGAGTCTGTCGAGTGAGCAGACATTTGATTCTTTGTAATTTCGCGTGTGCAGTCGTCTAACTTTTTAAGTACTATAATAATAAAAAGGCAACTTCATAGGGAAGTTCCTTGCCTTCATCGGCAATGACTTTGCCAAACTAACATAGTAATTATATGTAACATACAGAAACCCAACGCTATAAATTGCATAGAGTCGATAAAATCAAATCTGCTAGATAAGATCAGAAGACAAGCAGAACGACTCTTGCGAATGGCCGAGTAGGAGCGTATATAACCGATCGGCCCGGAAAAGAATTCGCGTAATTTTGGCGCCAATAGAAACGATTTTGGCGAGAATTGTTTTGTAGAATGGAAGAAAGTCCAAGTCCCAAAAGCCATACTAATGAACTTTCCCACTCCAGTAGAGAGTGATTATAAATTTGTGATCGTAGTTTTATGAACGCAAACCAAATCTACGTGTATTAAGTATATAATTATTTTAATATTTCTTTTTATTTAAGTGGGAAAAGCAAGTGAGAGTCATTGAAAAATAGCAAGAAAATTAATGAGCATTGAAGTTATGGAGAGGATTTTAGTCTAAATATTTTATTAGTTGCCAGTATAAATTGGTTGTGGACAAGTAATGTCTTTAAATTCATCTCTAACAAATGGGCGAATCTTATGATAAAGATACTCTTGCCTTTTGTAATCCAAAGGAGAAGGGGTTAGCGTTAGTACTAGAATTGAAAAGGATTTAATTTCTTTGGTAACTTCAGAAACACTTGCTTTTCTAGTTTTTAACAAATTAAATTCAGTATAAATGCCATTAGCGACCAGCTGAGCTTTGACAACACCAGGTTTGGCTGCTTCGAATACAAAATGCCGATACTTTTGTAAACCACTCAATTTCTTAAAGAAAATTCCCAACACGGAATTTAAGATCTAAATATTGAAAACCTTTGCCGTTTTCATAGCACTGAGCCTTGTTTAATCCCGTTGTACTTGATTTTTTCACAACCTCAACAATATGTTTTACACAATCTACCGTTGTTTTCCGGTATAGTTTTTTAATTAATCCGAAACTACCATCACACTTGAATTTAGTACCATGAAATTTAATTCAAATGGTAGCATTATTTTTATTCTGTCCACCCGCGTTATCTTTAAATATTTTTCGCCTTTATTCAATCTCTTAATTCCATCGAACACCATGCTCAGTGAGCCGTTAGGGCCCTTGCTGATAATTTCGTCTTCATCGAGAACGTTTGTTCGCGCACTGCTTCATCTTGTATGCCAAATAAATGCACTTTGCGTGGACTGAGATAATAAATCTTACTCCCCTGTTGATCGGAATGGGCCACGCGAACGTTTTGTGCTCAATCATAACTGTAATGAACAGTAGCGTCAATGCTACAATAAGCTTTACCTCTTGTTATAAAATGCTCATTTACTAATTTTCTCTGTTGTTCTGCTAATTTCGTATTTTTGTTTTAATAGTTTCTCTAATTTAGCCTTAACTAATACTAAACGTTCTTTGTATTTTTTTAGTAAATATTTCGCTTCTTCCTTACGAGCATTATACTATAAGCCATTCCGAAAATGTTACATAAATCCGTTCTGGACTCATAATTTGAATATAAGGCGTTAATTGGTGCCATAACTTGCGAAATGCATCGTATTTTAACAATTTCAATGCGCTGTCGTTTTCGAGACCCGCAATAAAATCGTTTCAGCTGACAAAAGTGTAAGCGATTGAGCGCTGACATTTCTACCAGTCCATGAATTTCAGCCTAGTTTTCAAGAAAATTTTTAACGGCGGTAGCAATGGGTATATCAATGGTTATTTTGGTTTTCCATCGCGGCACTTTTTTTACATTACCATGAACGCGTGGTATTATACCATTCGTCGCTAGGTGATTTCTGACGTTTTCGAAGTGAGTGCAACCAATTCCTAACATATTAAGATACGCTTTTTGACAAAGTGGCGTATTACGATCTCAGTTCTCTTATTAATCCGCGTTTTCTTTTTAAGGCGTCGACTGGCAGTTATTTCTCCGCCATTCATTGCTTTCAGCTGGGCCATTAAAAATATATCTTTTTCGGATCTAGAGAGAGCTTGAAACGCTTCACGTAATTCGGCAAACTCTTCTCTTGAAATCTTTTTTGAACAACCACAATTGCAACCTAATTCCAAGAAGCGTATGGCTTTTCATATTCAGTCAAACCATTATAACTATAATTTTCCATATATAAGTTTTATCATTCGTAATTATGGTTGAGTTAATAATTGAAAGTTGTGTGGTGATTGATTATTTGGATAGACTGCTTAGCTATGTCATGGACAGTTCTTACTTTTCTATATACTAATACTCTTGTTTACATATTTAATAATAATTTATAATGTTCTTTTTTGTTTGCCTTCGCTTGTCCACTTTTCTACTCTAGGGATTGATGACGATTGTTTAACACCTAGACCACTGACTAAAAGACCCATATGTAGCAAAAGACCCACCAGGTACTACAGTCAACTCTGTTTATAAGGACCACCTCGAACAAAGCAAATTCGGTCCTTATATCTTACATGCAAGCGTGTTATGTGTGTATCCAATGTTGGTGCTGTGGTAGATTTTTATTCTTTTCTAATTGATTGTAGGTAGTAACTCATCAATATTATGATTCAGCCAAGAGTATCGATCTTTGTCTCCTCCATTCTCTCTCTATTTCCTCTAGCCTCTTCTCCACCTCATCGGTTCTCGCCTCAACGCGTCTGACTTTTGTGTCCACGATGTAGTTGATTCCCCACAGACAATCCCCGTCAATGTTCCAATTTTTTATTCCGACGTCGCTATATTTAGGAAACCCCGTCACGTCTGCAAAAAACTGATTCTCTAACATCTTCCTCTTCTGTCTCTCCTCCCACAATTGTGTTCCAGAGGGTGCTGATATCTGAAATGTAATATATCGTTCTACGGTATTCGTTGTTTCCGTAGTCGTCGTCTGATGTTTCTGAAAGACATGTTTTTGCGATTTGAGAAATGAAGGTTGTGGAAGTTGTTTGAGGTGGTTTTGGTTTTGGTTTTGGTGGATGGAAGGGTCCTTTAAATACGATGACATTACATAATGATGACAATAATAACCCATGAAATGGTTACCGTTTTTCTCTGATCACATGCTGCGTTTACGCCACTCCAAATAATGATAACAAAGCCGCAAGGTCCCATTCCCTAAAACGACCATGTCTTCAAACAACATTCCTCCAAGTTTCGTTGAATGTCCTTACGAAATATTGATAAATATCCTAAAAAGGGTTGATTCAAAGGATATTATTGCTCTTGGATTGGTATGTTACTTGTAGCGTCTGGGCATTCGTTATGAAAGTCTTGAATTTCACAGTATACCATTTGAAAACTAGACGTGTCGGCGTTTGAACAGAATTGCCAACGACTCTTATCTCTGGCATATGCTTTGTTGCTGTCGTTACGATGACTATGTAATGAAAAAAAACCCAAAATTGAAAGATCATAATAGCGAAATAGACTGGAAAAAAATGTATTTCGAACTTGGTAAGCAGTAGTTATCAACGTTGAACAACTGACAACGAGAGGCATACAACTTAACCTTCCTTTATCTTGTATTAGGTACATTAATTAAGTATGCCGCTCCTACAGCACGAATAATTTGGCTAGACGACCCAGATGAATATGGTGTTCGTCCCCCTCCTAGTCATCAGTATTGGTCTGTCTTCCCTGACCCTAGGAGGTATGTCATCTTCCAATCATTTTGATCTCAATGTTACGTTCGCGCTATTATCGAGACTAATTGTTTCCGAACATAAAAGCCATATTAAAAGTGTTATAGCTCTGGATCACGTGTGGTGGCTAGATGTAAGTTATTCTGGTAATTTGTTACTAATTAAGTCTCTATGCTCAATTTAACGGCTCGTTTATAATCATAAACGTAGGTAAAAGTTACCTTCGACTCTGTCCCTTACGGTACATACGACATTATATGGAGAATCATTGCAGGGCGTGGAAGTAATTTAGATCGCGCTTGTTTTGAGACAAAAGTTGTCGACCCAGTAAGCATATTCAACGTTGTTCCGTCACTGGTTTAGGGCTTTTAATGACTTCCTACTTTATTTTCGCAGTCTGATGACGACATGGAAGAAATGGTGGTAGAGCCAATTGTAGAATTTTGGCCTACCAAAGAGGATATTCAACCTATTATAGATAAGAAAGACTGGACTGAATATCGAGTACCTAAGCCAATAGTTGTGAGTGACGCTCATGACTCCCCATCGAAGATTAGAGGTTCTTCTTATACCTACCGAACTGTACATGCTAAATTGTACTCACACGACTCGACGATGCATAGCGGACTGGTAAGCCATTACTGATCAATGTAAATGTATTATCGAAAAGATCTTGTGAATTCATTTTTGTTACTTTCTGGTAGCATATCGATTACGTGCGACTGGAGCCTCACAAAGAAGACAAGCAATAATTGCTGCAAGATCGGTTAGTATGTGTATATGTATTGAATCACAGGCTTGCCTGATATCAAAGTAGACATGAACTAACCTTAATTTACAAATAATAGACATCCGTCTGACGAGAGTTTTAGATTTATATATTCCAAAGTATTTTCGTAATAGTACGCGTTGTGAATGCAGTGGTATATCTCTGTTTGTCGACTTGCAATTCTGAAATTTGCACTTGTCTGGACTTGCATCACGTATGCCACTTATGATTGAGATTATTTTAAAAGTTCAACTTAAATCTATACTGTAAAGTAACAAATGTTTTCTGGGTGTAAATTAAAAGAGTTGATACGCAATTTACCAATTCTTTCGCAAACTTCAACTGCTTGTTATAATGTTTTGGGAAGTTGATTATCTCTTCATTAACAACATGTGCACAAGTGCGCGACTCGGGATTGTTTCGAGACAAGTTTAGTGTAAACTCAAAAGACATAGTTCATTATAAAGACGTTCTGAAGTACTCAACAAAAAAGGATAACAGCAAGATTTGTCAAGAAAGTCATATTGTCACAAGATTTTTGTCTTCCCTTCTGAAAGTCCAAGGATGCTGATTAATGTAATTAATAAATGAAATGCTTTCTGTGAGGTTCGCACAACCGATAAGTAGAACAGTTTCATGAGAATGTAGTGCTAAACCTAATACTGATACTAATATATCAGGATAAAAACGATCAAGCAACCTCAGACTTGGATCTAAGCTAGCATCTTAATTAGCGTCCAATTGATAAGATTGTTTCGTGAATTTGTAAATTGTATTCTGATGATTCTAGTGCTAACTTTACGTAAATCCCCTCTAAGTTTAGCAAACAAACATACTGTACACATGATTGTAAGACTCACGTGAGGAGTACATACAAAATACCCGTCGATGAAATTTATTATCGACAGTGGGTGGTTCGCAGTGCAAGGAATATGACTACATCAAAATTACACACAACGACTTCTGTTTCGGAGGGAAAGCGGTTACAAGCTTCTGCTTCTTATAACAACGTAGATGGCATACTTCATTTAGTGAACAAAAAACTAATATTTACAGCTAAAGGATCCAAGAATCCTATGATAAGTGTCCCTTTGAGTGATTTAAAACGTAAGTTTAGTGCATCCAGCAGAAGACTGTGGTAGAAACTCAATGTAACCTTATGTCAGAATTAACTCTTATTCAACTCCAGTTAGTTCTGATCTTTTTTACAAATAATATACAACACCTATCTTTCGCATTCGATTTGGGGTCTCTTTAATTAACTATTTAAATTTGTATCATTCTTATCCAACAGAATTCTTCGTGAGCAAGCCAGACAAGCCAGATCCAAAACTAAAAATAAAACTGTTCTCTGATGTCGAGCATATGTTCGTCTTGACCACATCAAACGCAAAGGAATCTTTGGGCAAATTTAAAATCGAGCTTCAAACGCTCATTTCAAAACAACGTTCAGGACATGCATCAAATGCATCATCGCGTGTGACTTCAGCTGCACCATCTCCCAAACCAAGAAATGGTAATGCGCCATCTCCATCATCTGGTGCGTCATCACCAGCACTGAGAAAGACGGCACCGACTGCAGAAGAAATTGCATTGAGGGTAGAACTGCTGTCAAGAAATGCGGAGCTTGCCAAATTACATCAGGAGCTGGTCGTTGGACGATTTATTACAGAAGAGGATTTTTGGGAAACTAGAAAAGTAATAATTTAAATTTTGAAGTTGATTACTCTCTTTGGGATGTAACAGATTGGAGTATGGATCATACAATTGAAATTATTATTAATGTCTACTTGTCGTAATTTTAGCACCTATTACGAGACGAAGCAGCGAAAACCGAACAGAAGAAGGGTCGTTCATCAACTGTTCCTGATCTGAAACCTGTAACAGAGGAAGGCGGAGATGTAAAAATAAAAATAACACCGCAGATAATTCATGATATTTTTGAACATTATCCATCTGTCAAGAAAGCATACACAGAAAACGTTCCACATAATGTAAGTTATTTCTTTCCCTACGTCTAACTCTCCCACCCTTCATCTGCTGATGGTGAAATTATCGATTTTAGTTAAAGGAAGAAGAATTCTGGAAACGCTACTTTCAGTCCAAATTCTTTCACAGGAATCGCTCCAATGCAGATAGAATGAAGAACCAGCAGAAGGATGACATATTTGATAAATGCTTTGCTGAAGATGAAGATGAATTAGTTCATGGTCCGAAGAAGATAAGGCTCGATCGTTTGAACCGATTGATTGATTTGTCCATGACTGCTGAGGATCATTTGGAGGTAATGAAGGAAAATCGACGTGCGATGTTATACATTACGTATAAGTATAATTATTGAGTATGCTTGTGTCACGATAGAATGGAAACGAACCGGATATAACAATGCAACCGGGTACAGGAAAATCACTGACACTTCTTCGAAAATTTAATCGACACGCTGAACGGGTGTTAAAATCCTCATTGAGGTTTGATCCGCGCAAAAAACGTCTTTTTATTAACTCGCTACACATATTACCTACAAATTTAATTTCGTTGGGATTCATTGTACAGTGAAAAGCCGATGAAACCCAAGGATTCACCTTCTGATTATACACAGGTTCGAACTCGTCTCATCCTCCTTAGCATATTTTACTGCAAGGCAGCTGAATAAGAAATTTGGAAAAAATTTTGCTATATATATTATACGTACTCCCTACACGCACACATACATATATACATATATCACATATCACATATCAACACACGCCATATATAATATATATATACATATATATATACGTCAGATCATCCAACGTTGCTTATATCTGCGTGCCTCTGTATTAGAAAAAAGGGTACAAGGATGAAATTATAATAGAGGATCTTGATGCGGACGAAGTCCAGCCGAGAATTTTGTTAAATATTAATGATTCAAGAAGGTATTTTGAAAGTCAGACAGGAACTTCTCTGAATGACATTGGACAGAATGAACAGGTAATGCGTTTGGACTGTTCACAAGAAAGGATGTGGCGTAGAAAAAACATGTCATGTCGAGAAGAAAGACGGAATAGTTGGACGTCACTTATGCAAACTAAACTTTTCCTTATCTCTTGTACAGTTTCCTACATCTGCTCTTACAAATATGAAAGCTCTTTTTGCAGATTGGCATCCCGATTTACGGAAGGTGATCTATGAAAATGATACATAATAGTTAATATACTCGACTTCACCTTAAACCCTTATCTTTATCAATTGTTCATAACAAAAGCCAATAAGAAGACCAGTATCATCCCAAGTCACGCAAATGCTCAACAAATCCATCAAGGATAGAAATAACTTAAACGCACGGCAGCGAAGTTTGGGTAGTTATCAGTGTCGCGGTTGCAACATTTCTTCATTTCCGTACCCATCGGTCTCACCTTGTATTCTTTACAGAAATGAAAATTCCTCCAGCACTCGAGCAGCAGGTTATGAACATTCATTCAGCTAGTAAGGAATTTCTTCGACATTTCTGGTCAACAGTAAACTCCACAGCCCCCGAACGAATAGAAAAGAATAAAAGAATGGTCGAACAAATAAGGAAAACGCTAGAGCGTATAGACGAAGTTGCGGAGACGGCAGGTGAAGATGGCAAGGTTGTACGGCTGGTAAGTGAGGCAATAAAGGTTTGATAGGATATTTGAGTGATGGTGAGAAGGAGAATGTATAATGATGGTAAAATCTTGACGGGGAGTAGTGGTGGAAATTATGACTTAAACACTTGGATTACACAAGAAAGCTTCAAAAAGCTGCTCAAACCCGAGTTCAGGATTAGCTCATGAATATGTGTTTTGTCTAAACTTTTTAATACGTAACTGCAGGCTGAAAGACGATAGATTTGCTACCGAACTTTAGTATTGATAAGAACTATCGCATTTTCTAGATGTTCAAACACATGGAAGCTGCATTACGGAATGCTCTCGTAGTACGCCAGGCCGCAAGTATTAATGGAAAACGGAAACGGGCACAATAATTGCTGTTATTAAATAGAACACTTTGCGTAGAAAGACTCAAATGGCAGTTGGGATGGAATGTAGAATAATTGATTACGACGTAATTGTAATAACAATAAACTAGATTTTTGAAACTCATGCTAGAAATGAAACACTTTTCCCCAACACTTTTATGGCCGTACAGCATATCCAGCTCCAGTTTAACTCTATACAGCATTAAATATATCATTTATTTGCAGCTCAATGCATCAGTTCCCCGACCTTTTTTTACATCTTTATAATAATTTATCATCTCCAGAAGCAACCATGTTACGAAGTGAGACTGCCGAACACACGATTATGCCGACAGATACTTGGCCCATATTCTTCATACTCTGCTTTGGTGTGGCAGTATGAGTAAAACTGGGGCTTTTCGATTATAATATAGTAAAATGAAAAACCACAGATCACATGGAAGAAATGTAGAATAAATTTCAGTAATTATTCGTCAATCTGACCACCTTAATAATTCCATTCTCAAGATTCATTTACTTACCGTTGATCCCAGCAACGATCCTCCAAACCACACTGCATACCGCTGTTTCTTGTGTGAAATGACGTTTACATCAATTGGGGTGGACTTGATTCGGAAATTGGATTATATTATATTAGTAACAGATGCAAGTCAAGAGGCATATGTTCAATATTGAAATACTCCATCTATTGTGTTCATACTGCTTACCTTCAACAACCCACCACTAAGCTCTTCACTTCTCTTTATTCTCGCGTCAACAACCCTCTTGATATCTCTCTGAAGCCTTTTACCAAAATCTTTGAACATTGTTGATCCGCCAGAAAGTACGATATTCTAATCAAACCGGTATAGAAAGTTGCTAATTGTGGTTAGATAGAGTATATTATGCGAATGCTCCACTACCCTTATATTCTCATCTAGACACTAACACACCTTGTACAAACCACGTCGAGTGTCGATTGGACAAGATTGAATGACGTTATCAATTACGTCAGGTATAGGCGTTAGAAAATCAGATGAAGCAATTTCTGGATTAAAGAAAATTTCCGGTCCAAGGAAACGTTCAAAGCCGACATCTACTTCATAAGGCTTCCGATAGAAAACAAAAGAATTAAGACATGGCTTGTAGAAAATAAATGCAGAAGTCTTAAAGTGTTTGGCGATCTTAAAACCTGTCACTCTAATCTTTCTTTCACTCTATCCTCACCTTTCCGGTAACACTATGCACGCCCTGATATTTTGTAAAATATTTGTCTGGCTCCTGGTCATATTTCTTAAATTCCTTAACAATATCGGGACACACGTATGAATACTGTTCTTTAATTTTCTCAGCAACTTTGAGTGAATCCTCAGGAGGGATGGACGTTTCATTGTGATCGCGGAGGAGTTGCTGGACAAAGTATGTAAGGTCACGTCCGGCAATTGGAATGTGCTTTAATGACGATCCGATCACGTAACCTTCTGCCTGTTAGCAATTGACCAGCATTGACGATCATTTAGTATTCATTGCAATTAGAAATAGCCCGAAGAAATACTTGATCAATAAAACCTCACCACTGGTATAACATGCGTAACACCATCTCCGCTATCAATGACAGTCCCCGTCAACACGTAGTCGCTTGTCTTGTTCGACGACCAACTAGCAGCCAAGGCTAAGACGGCCTGAACAGCAATATATAAACCTTGGATGTTGAATGACTCGAACATAATTTCAGCCGTTTGTTCGCGATTTTCTGGTGCATTTAGTGGAGGTTCTGTCTTGATGTGGACAGGAGCACAAAGTTTTCGGGTCAATCAGTATAGTAAATGTTTAGTGAGCGATTGAATAACACCCAGATCCAGCCATAAATATTAATATGTTATGTCCTCTCATCTTTTCATCCTCTATGCATATTTCCAATGTTATCCCAGCTTATCCTGTACTACTTATCCTGTTCACCTACCAACAAGAAATAATGATCTTCCGGCTCACATCTTAGATACTTAAAGATGCTCTGCTCCCAAAACCTCTCCATATGATCCCAATTTTCAATCTGTCCATGTCTTATTGGATAATGCAATCCATACGTCTTACTGTTGGCTATAGCCTCGTCGCCAATATGGAAATCAAGATCTTCGATACCCCGTTTGGAAGCAATATTTGAGGAAAGGTGAGAGGGTTTGGATGGAATAGAAGGTCCAGTGGCGTGGCCGGAGGGAGAATCGCGAGTGGCGACTACAGTCGGGAAGACAAAGGACGGGGCATTGTTGCCAGCAAAGCCGAGTTTAGTATAACTAAGAATGTAAAAGGCGTAAGTGAACAAATTGTACAAGGACGATATGTTATAAGCGATGCAACAGTTTCCCAAGTTTTATGGATAGACAATCAACAGGATACTATCTCGTATAACAATCTAACTGCTAACGAACTTCGACATATGGATCCCCCCTCTCTTATTAGCTGTACTCACCCCGTCCCATTGTCCATAATCACAGGCGGTAGCTTCAGCGACATTTTGCAAAACCGTAGCTACAAGTTCCAAGTAAAAACCGTAACTATATATACTAGTTCCAAGTCACGCTTGGCTTCACGTTAATTTTTCTATTGCTTAGAATGTTTGTCACGATAATCACGTGATTGTTGGAGTATCACGAGCATAATCGGGAATTTACCTGCCATGTCGCACAACCTGCCAGGTCGTGCAAGCTCAATTCATTGGACACTCAGATGGCTTCTCCTCCATAAATAAATAGAAATATTATGGACTGTACGACGTGTCTGGTTGTGCGACCTGGCAGGTAAATTCCTCTGATAATATCACGAGCTACTAGCTTTAGCAGTTTATCTGTAGTTAGGCAATAAAGTTCTAAATTATAAAAAAAAAAAAAAAATAATATCACGAGCTACAACTGAGATACTGTATATTGTAATCCAGCGGGTACGACCTTAGAAGTTGTTTTAAGTGATCACACGCCCTTTCCATAAAAAGGAGATGCGACAAATATTATAATTATTCGATTTTAATCTAAGACAAGTTATCAGTCATTAGAACAACTGGTTTGCTATTCGAACTAAATTGCATTCTTCAGTGAAATTAAACTCATATTGTGAGACTGATGTCTATTGAAACAGATTGTTTATGGTAAAAAAGAAAAAAAATATAGAATTAAATACATTATTAGTCGACACAAATACTATACAGCTCGAATATTAATACTGTTAATACAATGTACACTGGTGCGAACATAAATAATGTCACACTGTAATCTATCGCTAATGACCATCCTACAACCAATTATCCTCATCACTAGCAGAATTCAATCCATCACTATTGTCACTCAGTTCGTCATCACTCTCCATATATTCACTCTCCTGTAAGATAAAGAACGGCTTACTTCTATGATTCACTTTCCTCCATAGCACTACATCTTTCACCATCATCATTCTCTCCTTCCATGTCCATTTCACCCGTCCAAGGACAACATTTCCTCCCTTTTGGTACGCGGATAGATCTCCTGACTCACTCAGAGACTTGTTTTTACAATTGAATACCACATTGTTCAAGTACAAATATACTCTATTCAGTACGCCCGAGTGCAGAAATCCACTTTTGCCTCCATTTTGCCAGCATCCTCGTCGCTCGAGAAATTCTTCCAATTGCAGGCGAGTCATCGGGCGATAGCATATACTTGTTCGGTACGCAGGTGAAAAGTCCTGAGGCCTTCGAAGTAGCTGAACAATCTCGTTTGAATTCTTACGCCATAAGTCGTCCCAGAATAGAAACCACCACTGATGTACTCGAGAGAGATTAACTATCCGCATTTTTTCATATAAATATATTAATGTGGGAAATTCGCTCTCAGGTATAGACTGAACCTTCTCATTATTCTCCGTAGTCATCAATAATGCGGGCATTGACTCTAGTGGTATATTTGGATTGTCATACACATTAACAAAAAATGCATATGTCAATGTTTCTTCTTTCCTCCGCCCTTCATCACGGTAATATCCTCGATATTTCAACATTAAATCTTCGATTTGTGTAAGCCCTTTTTCGAGAATTTTAAGATTATCCGCGAAAAACTTTTCTAACTGAGCGGTCAATTGGAAATCATCTGTGATTCCAATGACTTCATGTCCGACTGTGCACTCATGTGGTGTCTGGGGAATACCTTCGGAATCTCGCCATTCGGCATCATTATACGATATAGTGACTATGAAGCCAGGATTCATGTTATAATTTTGCCAACGGGAGCGACGACAGCGGCGGATCTGAAGAACGCCGCTATGATAGTGAACCGGCTGGGAACTTGAAATCTGGAAAGCGGGAGCATGATTGATTAGAACAAGTAGAAGTAAGAAATTCTGATCATTGCAGATCCTCAGCATCGTTTGGACTTACCGCTCGAGTTTCATTACTTTCCAAGCTCTTCTCAAATTCCTTTTTGTCATTTGGACAGGGTCCCAGAACTAGCTTCCCTTCCAATGCGCGTATCATATATCTAATCCTCCTCCTCCTTATAATCTCTGGATCTGAATTTTGCTTAACGTATCTTTCAATCTCCCATTCCCTTGTCAACGTGGCAATACTTTCATCTTCGTCATATACCAAGACAACTGAGAATGGAAATGGAATAACATAAGCCTTTCCAAAATACGTCTTCAAGGCAGGATTCATTATTTCCGGAGAGTAGTACATATCAGGTCCAACAAAATCATCAACAATACGTAGTCTCAGCTTTGCTAATGATCCAGGTAGAGGAGCAGTCGAGGCAGTGTATTGACGAATACCGATATGGCGGATAATTTTGAGATTTTCAATGTGCCTCTCAGCTACCGTGTCGTTGAAATTTAACAAATATGGCGGACGGTAGTGACTGGTCGAAAATGCAACTACTGCAGTTTCATCCATCTTAAACTGCTCACTGGTTAGGAATAATGTTGTCCAAGTTTCTTGCCAGATTCTCCTCTTTATGTGTTTATCAAAATCTAATTTTGGAGAATATATGTTGATAGAGAAGTCTAATCTTTTCTTCATTATTTTTACGATATGACGGAACTTGGTATTCTCTTGCAACACATAAAATATTACAACTACGGTAACGACACAAGTGACCACCGTAATTAATATTCCTGATACTTGAGCTGATCCTATCGACAATACAAAAAATAGACCCAAGACACTTATGACCACATAACCTGCTCGTGACCAGTATTCACCAATGTTCTGGCTTTCATAAAGGAAAGGCTGATGACGCCAATGGTTTACCAGCAGAAGAACCATTAGCACAATCTGTAAAAGCTGTCGTATCGTTGCAAGCGTCGTTCCAGAGTAAGAGCGAAAAACGCAATTGTCTTTTGATATCAATACTATTATTAGAATATTAATCAATTTGTGTGCCATTATGAAGGTCTTATAAGCACCCCATTTGCGACTATATCCTATGTTACGGGAAGAGTATTAGATGAGATTCTAAAACCGATGGGATGTAAACGTAGAGACTTAATCTGCTCACCGTTGTATAAGAAATTGTATGGACAATTGTCATGTTTCAACATCTTCTTATATTCCTCTTCTTTGTCGTGTCTAGCTTCTCCGAGTTCATTAAAGTTATCGACCTTGGGCAGATTTTTGTCAACAAGCCTCTTTAGTGCAATCGGAAACCAGAAAGTCAAAACTAGCAAATTCGCGAGTGCTACTGGAATGATAACATAAGCAAAGTTCAAATCTCGTTTTTTCATGCTAGTAACGTAACAAAAGTCCCACGGATCGCGATAGATATCGGAGGGGCCAAGAGGAGCAAGGTCAGGAGGATTTCCAATAGGCCAAAACGTCGCTGACCAAAAGAGTGCATCGAAAGATAGTTTTGAGAGCGGAAGATAGAGAGTTGTGATAACAAACACCATTGCAATGCTAGCGCGACGGCTCGATTCTGGACGAAGACTCCATACCCTTGATTCATATCCCTAATAATTATACCACTGTTAAATATAAATCATTTGTATTTGCATATAAACCAGACGGTAGTGTTACCTCAATAGTAGTATTTGGATCCCACTTGGTCATTTGCCGGAAATAATACAGTGCAAAAAGACAAATGCCAAAGAGCATCAGCAGGAATGCAAAGCCATTCCCAAATACATCTACCAAGTTCAAGCTCAGTAAATTAGGTATCGTGAATAGAATAGTATATAGCCAATTTCCAAAACTCCCTCCAATAGAAACCAAGGCCAACGCAAGGAACTGGAAGAGATCTCTTATTATCTCTACTTGCATAAATCTAATGCCATACGCCGAACCCTCAGCAGCAAGAATACCATCGACCGCCATTTCAACAATGTCATTTTGTCTTGCCTGCGCACCAACTTTGCTGGCTTTTGTAATGTTTTGCTTAAGATCTTCTAGGGCCACCCCATCGGGTAACAGATTCATCGGCGGGAACATATCACTGCAGTGTAATTTTGGTTGGTTTGAAAAGTAATGATATTCCTCATCAGTCATTATTTCTTTCGGGTCAGAGAATTCTGTCTTTGGAAGTGCCTTTATAAATCCATCTAAACGAGGCAGATGTATCCATGGCGCTCCAGGTTTAAATAGCTCATTTTCAGATTCGCCATACGGATTAATACTGAATGTCGTGATCTTCTCCATATCAACATCTTCACCGGTAATTGAGTTGGCGTCAGCTCTACTAGATTCATATATCCCGGACACGTCAATTCGGGCAAGATGAGGAACTGACTGATTGTATTTTTTATAAGCTTCAGTAAATACTCGCTGCTTATGTCTGGCAGTAAAGTCAGGCAAAGAATGGTTAGCCTTCCTATATTCTGTAGATGACAGACTATGCGGAACGAGTAGCGAAAATTTAGATTTGGTGTCAATATATTCAGGCAGATCGTGATCGTGATTACTAAATAATGCCGATCGTGCTAAATGTCTATCGCTCTTTAGCGCATTAGAGGGCGACAATGCTGCACGACTTGGAATTCGAAGATTAAACCAACCATTCTTATCGTTGCCATTCTTTGAGTTTTCCCTCTCATCAGAGTCAGTATTACGGAAGGGAAAGAAAGTATACCTATTCTCTTTCTTGCGATTGTTTGACTTCGGTAAACCAGACATAGATCTATGTTTTGCTGATTTATTACGAGTTGCTCCTGTTTTAGTATTATCCACCGCTATGTCTTCTTCATTCGTTTTATTGAACTGACTAGTACTTGCAAGACTTTTTTCAAAATCCCTAGTCCCAAAATTAAGATCATTCATCTCAAGCATTAGAGAATTTGTCACTTGTGCAGACGTCCTAGCTGAATCAGTTCCCTTTGGCCCGACAATTACTTTATAAAATTCACTATCATCTATTTTCGCATAATTATTAAACGGGTCAGCACTCACTCTTCGTGAACTTGCAACATCGTCATCATCATTTGAACCAAACACGTCATTATCCTTGTAGAACGAGAGCCTGAATGGGTTTGACTTTGCTTTCTCCGGAGACCGTAGTGTCTGGGAGGGAGGACGTATCGAAGAATAATACACATCTGCCTTCCCCCTTTGATTAGAATCTCTGGTGACAAAATCCGAGTTGTGTTTAAATCGCAAGGGATTAGAATCCAATTCAGAATCATGTGCATCTGCAAAAGGTGAGGTAAAGGATGTAGGCTGCAATGCTTCACCAAAGAAAGTGACACCACGATTCCCGGTTGATGTTGATGACCGAAATCGGTTCGAGTCGATCTGAGCGTGTGGAGGTGGGGGCGGCAGCTCTTTGTCGAAAATATATTTCGACGTTTTCCTTCTTTCGTCAGTATAACCACGAACACCAGGAGGAGAGAGCGGAGGAGAAAAGGCTCCATCACTAGAAAACGCCCTAGTCACCGTCTCTTCAAACGATCCAATCGAGATGGGACTAGTTGGCGATACAAGCTCATGCGTTCTCTGTTCTCCAATCGGTGAGGTCCAATCTGGTGATTTGGGCGATGTAACACTCGAATCAGTCGCACTCTTAAATTTCGTAATCAACTTACTGAATCGATTTGTTTGTGGTCGTGGTCCACGGACATTAGATTGTCCAACTGATTGTCTCCGTGTGAACAAATCAGTCTTTTCCTTTGCTGGTGGTGTTGAGTGTAAAGGAGCAGAAGCTAAAGGGGTTGAAGAATCCTGTTGGCCTGTGGTCGCAGGTGAGGTAGAATCTCGTATCTTCTCGAGTGCTGCTATTGCTGGTGAAGTGTCTGCTAAAGGAGATGACAGTGGATCTGATGATGTCGGTTGGGGGAGCGAACTCCAATTCATTCGTCCTTTGTCAGTTTTTGTTGATAGTGTTTGTATATTAATTATTCCAAAGCTCGTTCCAGGTGGTTCCATTTCCGGTCTGTTGTCTGAATCAGAGGAATTGGTCAATGACGCGCTAGTTGTCATACCACTGAATGTCTTTTTACTTGAGCTAGCATTTTCTGCTGTTTGACTGTCATTCGTTTCGGTTTGTAATGGTGTCGTAGATCGTCTTCCAAGCGGTCCCTGCCTTACACCAGTCGGATGTTCATTCGGCATTGTTTGCTGCCGCAATGGCGGACTCTTTGGTCCGTCATTTGATCCATTTGCTGTTTGATTCCAAAATCGAATTAGATCGTTTACTGGTTTTACTGGCTCTTTTCGTGACATAATCGGTAAAGTTTGTTTTTTTCTTATTGCCTGCTGATTTAGGCGGATGTTTTTAGAGTTGAACTATGCGTTAACCGCAAAGAGATCGAAAGCATTTGGAGAAAGTTGTGAAATGGTGCCTCAGGGGTAAATTTGACATTCTTATAACAGCAAAGATAGAATATTAGGGGGGTTGTAGTGTGGTTTGTAAAGGTTCAAATGTAACACAAAGGTAGCTTTGCATACGAATACAAAATATTAATCGACACGAGCGCCAATGTTCGTCCATGCAGTTGCTGTTGTGAAAGAGCTCAAAGATGAGTTAAATAAACAATTAATACATTTAATGTATCCAAAAAATTAGAGGTGCATTATATGAAAACATTACCACATGTACTATCTGTCGACCGTACAAATGACATTAATGTTAAACGAGATGTTTTTTATAATAGTACGTACGCTATGATTCCGGTCTAACATTTTTAAACCTTCTTATTATTATTCTATGCAAAAGGTATTTCGTTACTTTGTAACTTTTTTGGAAATTTCAAAAAAAAAACTTTGCTGCCGTAGCAGCTTTCCACTCAAGATTGAACGTGTCATCCTTGTGCAGGGGCCATGCTAATCTTCTCTGTATCGTTCCAATTTTAATAAGTGTCTCTACCGAAGTAGGACGATAGAGATAGGAGTTCCACGTATTTATATCATACCCACATTTCAGTGAAACTAATTTTGGGACAGATTTGGGCCAATCAAAAGTTTGCTTGGCCAATCATACAAAATGCTGAATATCAAGTGACTTTTCCGCAGTATGGTAAACATTGCTACACGTCCCGACTATTACTATGTCATATTGTCAGTTATAAAAGTCCAGTTTATGGTATTGGTACTGAAGATTCTACAGAAAAGGGCAGGCGCTTTGTTCGGGCCTGTTGTTCTGCTAAATTCCAATTAGTTAACTCGATTGTATTATAATTATAGATTGATTGTAGATTAAGCAATAGTAATGGGTCTAAAAGCTAGTTCGCAATACAGTATAATTCAAGTCTTTCCATGATACGAACTCAGGTAGAAGCTTATTTTCTTCTACATCCCAATCGACAACTAATGTTTGTATATTAACATTCTCACACTCAAAGTAAACATTTTTATTGCTAACACGTCAATTCCAACGACATCAATTCCAAACGCCGCAAGACTGTATTAATTAGCCATAATTAGATTATTATCTACAATAATATGGTCCAGATGGACCGATGAAAATGTCGAACGGAACAAACCCCACGTGGGGGACACACCCACGAATATTTATTATAACGACTCGGAATCTTGTAAAAATATTATGAGTATGAGTATATAATTAATATTAATTAATGATAATTCATATTAATATAACTACCCGTTAATACCTTTTCTCCAACACGAAATATAACTATGAAATATCTAATGATGTAATGTCATCCACCCCACGAATTCTTGTATTTCTCATCTCCCCTTCGTTCTCGTTCGGAAGAGGCACTTGTTGAATACGGACCGTAGCGTCTTCGTAGTAGACGATCGGTGCTTTGGTCCATAGACAATATGCCCTTCTAAGTAGACGTTGAGAAATACAGTAGGTCATCGGTGGTCGGTGAGTCTTCGATCTATTGATCGTAGGGGGTTAATATGAGACATAATATTTTCATAATAGAATACTCTCCAATCATAATTACCACTCGTATAGCTATTAACATGCATGACCGGTTTTTCAATATTTTAGATACACCATGAATTACGTGTGAATTCTCACCATTTTCCAACTGTGGCCTGCACATCCTAATTAATATAGAATATCATTTGACTCCAGCAAATACAGATACAATAGCAGTAATGACATGCACCCATACATGATCTCATGTATCATTGTAAATAGTAAACTGGTATTGCAAAATAATGGAGATAGAATTTCATACTAAAATTTAATAAAGCAATCAATAAGCTTTTAAATAAACTTATTTTTATTTGTTTGTGTTGCATAATTGTTGAGATACACGTATACCAGCTTATTTACGCGCCATGCTGTAAGAAAACAAACACGATGACGACAGATGTGTGACTGCTAAGACCAAAAATCTTCTTACTAGTTATTGGTTTTCTTGACTCTGATTTTACCGGTTACTATACTAATTTATTGAATGAATGACTCGCAGCTAGCCAAAAATTCCCTCGCGAATTCCATCAATTTAGTAATTGTGAAAAAGAAAAATCATGTACAAAGCAGAAAGTCGCTATATACATTAGTGCATGTAGGACATTACAGTAACGATTCATAGCATAATTTCTCGACCACAAAAAACTGTAGACTGTAGGCAGCAGAGATAGCAATCAACTCCTGGTCACGTTTTATAAAATGAACATGGTTATTATTCTTTAATCCTTAAAACAACATTGTACACTGGATATATAATAGACCATCGCGTTAAATAAAATTCTATGTATCAGGGAATAAATAAATATTACATAAAGTTAAGTCTCGTCTACAAAATTGCCCGTCTCTCATGCCGAACTTTCGTTCTATTGTCGTTTCTACACATTCATCTTCTCGCTTTCATCTATTCACGTTCTCAGAAATTCATCCACCATTGAACCAACATACTCCGGTCGAAACACGTGAAAATTGTGTCCATCCCCCGTAAGTTTGACGAGTTTCGCATCGGGAATGTAAGAAATAACCTTTTCCGAGTGGATGTAAGGCACGGTAGTATCTTCTTCACCCTATGTTATATATTAAGTATTTGATTGAGAAAAGGCACATCATTATTTGGCTTTTTGCTCCAACACGCCCGTTATTTACTGCGAGAATACACTTAATTTTTCTATTTTACTCACCCATATGACCATCACTTTTCTATTCTGTTTCCCTACTTCCTCATATGCTTTTCCCAAATCGGAGAATGGAAAATGCTTGACTGTTGAGGCAAAGGAATGCAAAAACCCGAGATGATTAGCAAACTGATAGCTGGAAATTTGTTGCAGCTTTTTGAGTCTTGAGTCATTCGAATCATCATCGGGATTCCGAGATATGTGCCAGCGGAGAAGAGACTCCATCAATCGCTGAAAGTTAAAAGAATTCTGTTAGTTTAATTATAGCACCTTGCGTACGCCGGTGGTAAAGTCGAAAAGTCTGACAGCCTGAAACGGTACTCTGGGACATGCATTTCTAGTAGTATGAGTGTTTTAGAGAATCAAATGACACTTACTCTTGTGAATGAGTTAACAAGAATAGAAGATACTCCCGGTAACTTCAATGCCCTTGCGTAAACAGGTATATCAGTTGCATCCATAAGTCCTACTGGGGCCAGCAGTATCAATGAATTGACAGTCTCTGGAAAGTGTCTAGTAAATGACACCACAATTCCTCCTCCCTTGAAACGATGACAAAATTGTTAGATCAGTTGTCTTATCAGGATCATGGCTCTGTATCAACTCGCTCAATAAATGTATGTCTCCAAATTATCGATTAACGTACTAATGACACACCGAGAAGATCCGTCTTTTTCCATCCGATTTTCTTTAACAACATTGCAAGCTGAGAAACAAACAATGCATCGTTGTTAGGCACAGATGGGCTAGCTGAATATCCTCTTCCATAAAGATCTATATTCAATAATGTAACCGATTTATATTACACAACAGGGTCAACCAGTTACGAGAGCCAAGAATTCGTTTATTGGATTAGTCAATATAGATAGATGCAAATAACGGACCTTTGTAAATTATTGACATTAGCGAGACTTCATACCAAATACTAACACTCGATACCCTTTTTTCGCTAATTCTGCTGCCACGTCAGTGAAGATTGCTGCAGGAGTTGCTATGCCATGAACAAGTGTTATCTGTAATAGAGCAGTCAAGTTTGCACGGAAGTTTTAATAAGTTTGCAAATTTCAATGGGCATACAACCAGCAAATACCTTCTTTCCGTCTTCCGGACCAAACAACCAATATCGTGTCTCTCCATATGGTAAGTCGGCATATGCACCACCTAAACAAGTGTAGCCAAAGCCATTCAATTCGTTTATCCACCCATACTCGCAACGCTCTTCTTACACTTCTATCTCCACGTCCCTTCATTGAGTCGAACGTACTAATGCTACCTTATGTTAGCTGCTTATTCTCTTCTCCGTATTATCTCTAGCCTACCTTGATAATGATCCGGTAAATATGGAATGGTACTCTTGTTGATGTCATCACTCTCCCAAGAATCTCTATATCCAGATAGCGGAGTGCCGCTTGGATATAGTATTAATAAGAGCGGAATCAAAGCGAAAAAGATAAACTTATTTGACATTGTTAATGACCTTGTTGTCAATCGAACAAGTCTAATAACGAGTCGATTACATTATTATTGTATCGGAAATGATTGTTCATTGGTTTATGCACTCTTATCGGTAATAAGTTCTAACAGACTACTAAATGGAATTCGATAGTCATCTGCTGTACCACTTTCCGCAATCATATTTAATGACGACTATGGTAAGTCCTACTACCACCATTTTCGCTTTCGCAAACATGAACAGGAAATTTACCTGACATTCAAGGATGATCTACTGTCCGTGACCTGTCCCGTGATTTCATTCTAATACCAATTTCCTTTCAAGTATATCGCTATAAGAACCCGGAGGCTTTCGTCGGAGAATTGCAATTATAAGAACTTCAGCATTTTCTGGTATTTATTTAATTATTTATATGGCAAATAAGGTGTATTCCCCCCTGATACATCAACTTATTTGGCCCAATAAATGAAAGCAGAGTCCATATATTGTACGTTGAAATAATCACAATATCTTTAACACGAAACAGTAATAGAAACAGTTGGTATTTTCGAAGTTAGAATAGCATACAGTCTCCAACGTCCATGGCCATACGTCTTTGCGATTGCAGCGTTAGTAAATGAAATCAAATATATGATTGGAGACTTATTTATAACATCGCTTCTCTTTCACATGGGCTGCGGATGACACAATGAAGGTGCATTTGAAAAATAATGGATTCACAGGAGATTTAAATTACACTAGTGAAACGAATGACAGAAGTGTCTAACTTTTTTCGCCGGTTTTTCAGATGTTTGGTCGGTCGTAACTAAATCACGCCACTCATATCGAGAGGTAATTATCAATAATAGCGATATCTTATACTCAATAGCGTACTCAATAGCAACACCAGAGCTGTCAAAGTATCTAACTTTTTATAATTTACTGACGTTAATATTTACACCTCAATGATCCTCAGCTTATTTAGTGAAATATCTTATCTTCAACTATCCTGCTTTCAATCTTTAAGCATGTCTTGTTAACTGAAGTTGAATAAATTGCTTCTTTAAATTGAGTTGCGTCAGTGAGTCTGTACGATACGGCTGATCCATAACTACGAAAAAGAAACTGAATATGCGGAAATCGTTATTGGTTACCAATGTTACCAATATTTTGGCTAAGAAATTGGTCTTTAATATTAAAGGGATTATATAATTGCAGATATTTGTCCTGTAAGTGTTTGTTAAAGTCGTGTGTTAATAAAGCTGCGATTATTTTATATCCTGACAATTAATGAATATAGACAAATTTCGCACAAACCGCATCTGTTATTTTATTTGAAAGCGCTTCGCATAAGATTTAGATACGTACGTAATTTGTCTTAAATAGTCGTGTTTTTGTTGAACCAGAACTTCATAATGCGGTTACCGTATCCCCTCGTGAATAAGCATCCCCCTTCGATCATATGAAAACGATCAAAAAAAAAATTTTTTATGATTACGAGTTCTTATTATTTATTATGTACTAACTATTGCTTATAACGGTAATAGTGGGGGAGGGGGTGCTTATTAATGACTAATTATACACTCCCTGGAAAAAGTATTGGAACACAGTCTTTTTAATCAGCTTAGGTCTTTAAGAATCTACATGTAAATTTTGAAGTAATAAAAGGCATTTGTAATAAAAATTGAATGGGTAAATTTCAGGGGTGTTTTTTTGTTTTTTTTTAGCTTTAAATTCAATTTTATTTTGGTATTGAGTTGGTCATTCATTATTCGAGATGCCTTCTTGGCATGCTCTCGAATGCGTTTTATGAGGAATTAGAGACCATTCCTCTTTTGGGGCAAGATATTCTAATAAGCTAAAAGGAGAAGAAGAAGAAGAAGAAGAAGAAAATAAATCAAATATAATGGGGAAAGGAATTGAAAATATGCTTTTAATTTTTTTTTCTCATTAATTTACCGATATAAATAATGAAAAATGTATTACATAATATTAATCAAATAATTCCATCAGATTGACGTGTTATAATCCAAATTTCATGATTACGTCGCGTCATCGAACAAACTCAACAATGGCAAAAGCCAATAATCTTGGGATCACTGAATCAGTACAAGAACGACAAACCCACACCCGGGATGGTAAAACTGGCATCACGAAGGTCAAGGACAATTATGTTTGGGATGTTCTCGCAACGAATAATAAATATTTGAATCAGATACTTTACTCAACATACAGTACTGTCGGAATACACACTTATTTGTTCATTGTTTGCTTGAAGCTATTAATTTATAACAAATGAAACTGACAGGTTGGTCTCAAAGGCGCTTGTAAGGGATATGGTGAATAAGAACTGGTAATTGTCAAATACAGTTACTCCCGATAAAAATCTCGTGATATAATTTTCACTTTGCACGTTATTATAGAGCCAAGTTTATGATCATTATAATTTGCCCATCATTTGGACATCTAATGCTGTACAATCTTCTCTTTTTAACAAAGGGTTTTGGTTTCAGAGCATATTACTAGAGAAGCCTTTATGTGGAGCTGTAGAATTATCAATCAAATATACAATCAGTCCTTGAGGTATCATCCCATATCTTTCTTCAACGATTAAATTCTTATATCTATCTATACGTTGGATTTCAACTTTTTCAAATCGATTGTACACGATACCTATCATTATCATATGTTCTCCTTATCAGTAACGATAAACCATCGATATAATAACCGTTAATATTGTCTACATATTAGACGTTCCAATACATTGATCCACCAAACAGTGATGGACTCGTGAAAGGAAACAAGTTATAATAGAAGCCATATATCCCCAAAATATAGGCAAGATAGGTAGCTAATTAGTTATTTCATAAAGTATATTATTATTTATTAGCAAAATCATTAATGGCAACTTTTTGCACGCTTGCAGGATTCGCTTTAAATCAAAAGGCTATACATACCAAATTTCAACCCCGTACTGTGTCGAGAAACATCAAGACTTGGAAAGCCCATAATATTGCAGAATGAATGCACCACTGCGGGTGCAATCAGACTGCCTATAACGACAAATGATATATCGTTAGCACAACACATTATCCTACAACACTTTAGTAGATTTACGAGATCATTACCTGTTCTTAGGAAGAGAAAAGATGCATACCATCCAAACACACTTGTAAAGCTAAACTGAAACACTGGCAGTTTGTCGAGCAACAAAATCCGTCAGTCATCACTCGTGAGCTAAAATAAGTTATGAAAAAGACATTCAGATAAATAGCATACACGATGTTAGGATTCCAAGTTTTAGACTCTTGGCATCACGGCCGTAAGCTACGTAATAATCCCATGCGTTATGGACATGAGCTAAAAATAATGGAACAGATATGGATTAGAACCGAGACGAGAATTTCAACGTGTATATTTCTCTTGAACGAGATAGTAATAACAAACGGAATAATTACCTATTCCGAACAGAAGTGGAGATAGAAATATGATTTGCACAGACGTATATCCTGCATAATGTAGCAAGGGAATCATACAGCATCTAAAGACAAATTCTTCACTAGTTGGTGCCTAAAGACAAAGTATCAAGTTAGAATTAAGACACCAGTTTGTTTATTTACATGCCAAAGATAATCGGACAGTATTATTCATTACGCATGCGGATGTACTTACATATATGTAATTTCTGAATCCTATTAGACTAACAAAGCGATCATATACATCAGATCTCCAAGAGAAATTAGACTGAAACGGCAACCCTTTATTTAACCACAGTATAAATAGCGGTCCCGCAAATAGAATACACGTAAGAGTCAATGGATATACGATTAATCCAATCAGTTGAAGTATATCAAAGTGAAGAGTGAGACCAACAAGACGAGCTGTTGTCTCTAATTGTAAATAAAATGACTAATAGATGATAGTTAACAAGTATGTCAAGAGAAAGACTTCAAGAAAACATATTTGAATCTCATTCTTTAACCAAATACCTTGTCTGTAAACCCATCGTAGCCAGAAATCAACGCCCAAACTCCGAAAAACGAAAGTACGCAGGTTAATCCAACTGTCTTCATCCGCTGCAAAATAACTTTTGGATGGTTCTTTGTCAAAAGATCATTTCCTCCTCCCCCTATGCGTGTATCTTTGAATATATAAAGTCCGCCAACAAAAAAGAGAACAAATGTAAAACATAGTAATAATGCAACCAGGCTTGGTAGTTGTAAATCGTGATTTATTGGAAGGTTTTCCAGATGTGAATTCATCCTGAGCCCCAAAGTCAGATTGGTGCATCTGATCGAAAATTCGATTATCATCAATTTTTCGAAGCACGTGATAATAATGCAACTAATAAACTGAAACATATTAAAAAAGGCATAACTCAAGCAACCCGCATATACCTTTACATACTTACGTGTAATTTAGGGACGTGTTTTCGTATTTTTCCGAACGCAAGTGATGCTGTAATGAGATACCGAAATGCTTTCATGTAACTTCGTGGTTGAATACGAATGCGAATAAGCATCAAGTCAGGGACTACCGTTTATCAAATAAAATAACTAGATTGTCCCATTTGTCGCAAGCTCAACCGTGAACGTTTCTTGTGCGAGGGTTGAATAACTCAAAACGCCTACTTTTAATCCTTTGCCAAATTGTCACATCCTAATGTGCTAATTACAACAGTAATTTTACCGCCTTCAGTGCCCGGCTTGTTATTACTTTATTCTTTCTTTTGGAATGGGAGTTTCTGAAATTCTGAACTTTACTGTTACAGTAACAATAATTTATTTATCGTTAATTGTTCTATTCGTCAAAGATTTCTTGATTGTGGTTGTAAACGTTTTATATACATATTATGTCTATTTGAGACAAAAGTATTAGAATTTAGAAATTGTATTAAACCGACGTTTTGTTCGTTAACTATTAGTAAAATATTATCAAACTTTGTTTGCCAACTGGTTGACAATCTGTAAAGCTGCATAAGGAGCACTGTCTATGTAGATTTGAGATCGCTACTATGTAGGGAATGCGTTATCGGGACCAAGATAAAATACACTAGTGTATCATCTATTTTGAGGACTTTGGTTATAACAGCATTCTCCATCAAAGAAAAAGTGCCTTTAGATCAAAATGTCGGCGACTCGGTTTAATCTTGCCATTGTATATAGCAATTTTTCGTCATAAGAATTGTTACTGTAAAGTTTCCGTGTACCAATTAATACTTTGCGTGTCATTCAATGTTAAATATGCATACTTTAGCTTCTTTTTATAAACCAGTACATTTACCAGTCTAATTAATCTAACATTAGAGCGCTGTTATCAAAGCTAAACAACAATTATCAAATAGTCAAGATACAATCTCAAAAGTTCGTCAATTATAAGGATGTACGTTGACACATAATTCTAACGGTATCTATTTTCTGTAAGGGTAAAGTTGAATAATAGCTTATTAGTTGGTTAGCTTATGGAATATTTGCCAAGTACCTAATACCGAATTGTTGCGTACAACAAAAGTCGATAATAATAAAATCAGTACCGGTTTATATCATTCAATCGCACCGAGTTTGGCAACAAATGTGAATTATTTGATATTCAAACGATGGCATTCATGGTTTTCAATCATTGTTATTACATGCCGTCAGTTTGCAATAATAGCTACTACGGCGAGCAATAAAATACGTCTCTATGCCATTATTGCTGCCAATTATTTTTAAGCAATTTATTTTATCTTAATACGCCTATATACGTAATTACTTTTAATTGTATAGTTGACAAATTACTTATAATTCTCATAATCGGAAAACAGTCTTAATTGCCAGTATTATAAATGCACGAATTTACATCAAGACGTCATTTCTTCTTAAATTCACAATTATAGAACCACACAACTCAGCTGACTTGTAGTTAGGAAAAACCTTACCCATTTCCTCCAGATCGATACTCTTATATCCATGTAGTCTAATAACATTTAACTTTTTATAACCCTGGATTGTTCTAATAAATCTCCTATTTACGTCGCCAACGTTACCATTAATCGATAGTTTTTGTAAAGTTTTCTTAGGTCCAAGAAAGGATTTGAGAAACTGGACCCAACTTGGAGAGTAGAATTTAATATGCAGGATTTCAATGTTCCTGGCCTGACTTATTACTTCTGCAAGATTTTTGAAACCTTCATGCGCATGAGACATGCTTAACCCTTGTGAACTGCCCGATAAATCAATAAATAATGATGTCAACGATGGCGCCAGGATTAAATCTTGCATATCTTTGCCGCTTGGTACGTAACTGCAGGACATATGATAGGATCGAAATCGTGGACTTTTGCCGAACAATGAGCTCAAGTCGTCTGTCAAATCTTGGATAATAGGTAACATATTTTGTACAATTGGCAAAGACGGATTACGTGTATGTCTAATTGGCGAGGAAGACCGAAGCACCTTATCAAAATCCATTTTTCTCAGCGATACAAGATAAGTGCCGTAAGGATGCAAAGAATCCTTCATTTTTTCAAGAATCCCGTAGTCGAAATAGTATTGTTGTCTTTGCTTGGAGAGACAGCATAAATATGTTTCGATCAGTGCTGTACTCCTTCTTGGATCCCTAAATTTTCTGAGAAAATAGAACGGATTTTCGTATAATATTGGAGTCAATTCCCTATTCCAATATCTATTCAAAAGCAAGACAGGGTATAATGCACGAAAGTCATATGCCAGCTTATAGAAGATATGGCAAATGACATCTTCATTGAGCGGAACTGGCATTTGAAATATTACAACTTAAAGAAAGAAGAGCGGGGTAACGAAAATGTGGAATCAATCGAAGCGGCAGAGGGGTAAGCAGATTTATTTAAATAATGAATACTCATACAGTTTCACACGGCAAGCCACCGATTATCTACATGACAGTATTGTTCGTAAACAAGATCGTGGCGTGAGATTGACAAAATATAAATAACAGAATGATGTCTCCATATCCTAAGTCTCAAAAAGACGGTAATTGTATTGTTTTTTTTCTTATTGATAGAGAAATCTACTTTTATTAGACGTTAATGCGATCGGTCTACTAAATTGTGTACAACAATATTTCATAACTCTCAATTTGTCTTTCAATGACATCACCGCCAAAATAGTATGTGCTCGCCGATCATAGACGTGGCACAAAGTTGTATAAATTTCAGAGAAACAAACGCGTGCAGTCAATGGGTACAAGGATAGTTATTTACAGACATGTGATAACGTAGCACAATTACACCGCCAGCTTATTAGATTGTTTATAAAAAACTCTTGTTGAACTTACATACCGATTGTGACATTATGTATATTCAGAAAGTCATGTTATTATTCGAAAATTTTATTTTATTTTGTGTATTTAATTTATTTATTTATCGCCAACGATCATTTACAGAATTCCTGGGTTTGAAATCAATGCCAAACACAAGAAAAATTCACACCAATAACAATCTGCCTCGACCTCAGCCAAAATGTCGCACAACATTTGTCGCGTGTGACCGTGATAGTGTAGAATTTTTGCGATTGGCTATTTCACCAATACATTTTATAAAATACGTGCAAAACCTCCCCATTGTCCGGATGCCTTTGTTGGAATACGACTTGATTAATGAACGAAAACGTTTTCGAAAGCTGTACGCTACAGAGTATAGGTTACTAGAGCTCGCTTTTCGATGAAGATTTGTACATACCTATACTTTCTAATGTGTTGGTTGTAATACATTCTCTTGAAAAGACGTCGTCACAACAAGCGCAAAAAAAGACTCTAATTTTTTTACAAATTATGTAGACGTTTCTAAAACCGATTCCAACTATAATACAAACATTGACAATACGCATGCATTTCTCTAGGCTGGATTGGGAAATATCAAAGAGAACACTCACAATTCTATACTATGCGAGTTCACTTTATTTTTACGCAATCGATCGACTAATAAGAAATTTGGAGACAGTGGCATATACCAATCTCTATTAATTCAACCTTTTTGACGTTGTTGATGCCATCCTTACAATGAATATGTACTCAAAAGAATGTAATGTATTTCAGTCATTGTTGATAGCCCGCTATGACAGCGCTTGGTTGGTATCAGACTTTTATTGTGTTTTACACACCTCGCCAAACTAATGCTTTATTTTGAACAAAAAAAATTAGCTCAAAGGCAAGCTGTAGTATATGTGGTACTCTCATTAGGTGAAGGTAAGAAATCTTTGCCTTAAAATAGAACGCCCGTGGATAACCGGTTTAGATCTAACCACATCAAAGTATTGTTTACTGAGACAATGAAGTACAATTATCAAAATTTCTGGGCAAACCTGTAGAAATTCTCCACGGTCGCACGCCTAATATAGAAAGCACCTTTTGATAAACAAAATCCTAAGAAAGCACCACAGTACGTGTACTATGCGATCTCTTTCCTGTTTGGCAAAAACTAGAATCTGACGCCTCAATTCTCTATATCCAGGCTTCAAACAGATATACGCCCCCTCTCAAAAGAGCTATTAAACGAGGAATTCTAACCGATCGAAGAGATAGTCAAGCGCTCATACCCAATGCACATTACTGGTAGCACTGGTTGTGAAATAATGATGACAGATATTCATGACGCGCTGTTACTTTTACAGCGTCGTTTACACATACTTACTGTACAATCGTTAAGAGAAACTGGTCAAGTAATCTTTCTTTATATAAATTAAAAGCACATTACTTGAAGCAGGCCTATCGTATTCAAACAAATGATCTTCAAACCTGTTTTTCTCGTTAGGCAATCTTCTAGTAAAGTATCCATCAAGGCAACATGTGATTATCTGGCTCTTGAACGATACATATTTCACTTGGCTATTTTGAATAAACAATACAATCTTAGTTTTATTTACAATACAGTATTATGCGTATTATTTCTAACCCAGATTTACAATACCGAGTTTTTGTCAATATAACCTACTGCTAATGGTAATTGAATGTCATGTCATGTAAACAAGTATGGTTAGTTTCTAACTCAAATGCTTAAACTGATCGAACTATATTTGCAGTTCAATTAATTCATTGCGCTAATTTATTTTTATCAAGTCTGCGTTCAGTTTTCCGTTTGTTAAATTCTGACCTCATACTAATACCAGTAAATTTTTCACGTGATATAGCGATCAAATCTGTGTTATAGTTTGATGGTCAGACACTTGTCCCTACACTAATTATGTCACGAAAAAGGCTCTCCCCACAAAATGCAGGTACAGTAAAATCTTGACGCAGCTTCATAACGAAGCGTCATGCAAAGGAAGATTTATTATGTCAAGTAAATAACAGCCCTTCTATTAACAACCCAGAAATTGCAGAGAAATCCAAAGTACGCGCATACGTATCTAAAAGAAGGAAGATAGAAATCGAAGAGTCAAGACAAGAAATCGAGCTGACAGGTGTATGATGCTATCTTTGCCCGTTGTATAGATAATCATGTCTGAAACTTTACCTTATCGACTAACCTGATTTATTTCTGTCAAGATTTTAGATACTTCTCCTCAACCGATAAAACTTTCAGATATTCCAGAACGTATATCATCTGCTCTAAGCGATACACCTGCTTCCCAGACGGGATTCTTACCAAAAAGGAGAGTCACACACTTGCCAAAAGAGCACACCAAAGGAGTTAATGCATTAACATGGTGTGGGGAATTTGGTTTGTTGGTTTTCGTATGTGAGGCCTATCTTAGTTACTTGTGAGTATCAACAAATTCTTACAATATACCTACCCCCACCTGAAGGACAGGTCTTGGCATCTGCGTCTATGGATGGTTCGGTCAAAATATGGGACGTCTTTGGAAAGAAAGAATGCGTTCGTACTTTTAGGCATTACGGTAAGACCAATTTAATCTACAAGTCTGCAGATTACAAAAAACAACAGAAGCGAGAGTAAGAGTTAAAAATATGGCCATAACATCTACCAGAAGCAGTAAAAGACGTTCGATGGGATAATGACACAAGCAAACTCCTGTCGGGTGGCTACAATAAACTTGCAAAGTTGATCGACATTGAAAGTGGTGCAATATCTCAGGTAAAAAGGAGCTACCGTTTAACGTGATTATCAGTTGACCACGGTTAACTTGTTTATCCTCCCCTCTCCAAAAGACATTCGAGCACCCAAACTTTATAACCGCTCTTCGCTTCAATCCAACATCTCCTTTTTTCTTTGCATCTGGCATGTCTAAAGACGGAGTAATAATGTGGGATGTCCGCACTAATAAACCTATAAATCAATTCCGTAAATTCTGGGGTAGCGTGAATGATCTTGAATTCCTACCAACTGGTAAGGAAATTCTTACGTGTTCCGACTACGTTGTGAGAAATGCTGCAGATAAGAATATTGTCGTCTGGGATTTGGACAGTGTACGTAGATGTTAGGGCAGGAGAATCGTTTATGAGAACGAGAGGTAACATTAATAGGTAGCGATGAAGGTGACCATTATTGGAATTGACTTTTTTATTATTTATTACCAGACAACGCCTATATCAAATCAGATATATCAAGAAGCGTATTCATGCACTGCAATGCGAAGACATCCATATAAAAGCCAATTTGTAGCACAATCAAATGCAAATTATGTAGCTATATTTGGGCTTGAAAAACCATGGAAACTAAATAAGCGTAAGGTGATTATTGGCTCCATAAGTTCTTATTGCCTTCTTCGGTTTCTAAAGTAATTTATTCCATTTAATCCGGTTCAATTTGTCTACCTGATAAACCTCCTCAGCGCTTCGAAGGCCATGTTGTCAATGGTTACCCGATTCGATGCAACTTTTCTTTGGATGCAAAATACCTTGCATCGGGAGATGCCAACGGTTCAATATTTTTTTACGACTATGCGTCATCTAACATAGTTAAAGTAATAGAAAACGCACATAGCGGGGTTTCTATTGACGTCCTTTGGCATCCAGTGTTGAAAAGTGTCGTGGCTACTGCTGGATGGGAGGGGGGAGTCAGCGTATGGGGTTAGAGACTAGAGATTAAAAGGATTGGGGAAGAAGAAAAAAAAAGGGAAAGAATGTGGACAGATTTGTGATATTGAGATTATTATTTGGATTGATTCTGCAATAATATATGGAACAGACTGCAACAAAACCAGACAAGGTAAATGTTTTGTTATGTGGCATATCGTAGTGGCGGAAAATAATGAGAAAATTACGCAATTACTTTACATGCTCTCTGTTTTGTTTACCATAGAAATTTATATATAGAAAGTTACATCAGATAACAAATGTATAAATAAAAATAATACTTGAACCAACAACGCGTTTTTTGTTTGCTTTCGTAAATTTGCTATAAAAATGCTTGATTAACTTATCATTCAAATATCGAGAATTTGTGGGAAATGGAATTATAATATATTATTAATCCCAGAAAAAATTTTACATACTATTCTTAGTCAAACTGTATGCTAACATTAAAAATCACGTAATAATTTATTAATATAATGAAAACCAAGCCAAAGCTGTCAGCCAACATTCTCTAAGCAATAACGATATTAATAAATGCAACTGATGTGCTTATATTTGATCGAAGCCTCACCTCTCTCTAATTAAAGCATAATCATAACATTTGCGCTCGAGAGCAAATCGCGGAATGACTCAAATCAATTGGATTAGATACTTCGGTACGACGCTGACAAATCAAGTGTATTAGAATTGCTGCTTAATCTCCGATTTCACTTCGCATGGGGGGATATACCACGATCCGAAGAGATTTCTGCGCAAATATACTTTTCTAAAATAGCAAAATTATTATACAATAATAAGTGTTTTCAAAATGTGACATCAAATCAGAACAGCGACAAATCAAATCAGAGTCATTCATATTTATTATCTTATTATGAGATTGACTACCGACGGGGTACTCAAGGCATAGCCCGCAGCAGCTTGACGCAAGAGGCCAAGCGCACGACGACGCCTGGATCAGCGTCATAACCCACAAGTCAAATAATTGTTGATCGCAATACTCACTTTGTTTACTGTCTGATGTTCAAGGCGGTGAATTATCGGCAATCGACTGCTGATTATAGCATAGTAGATTAGGCCAATCAGATTTCATATGCCTGTGCTACAATCGATCTTATTTATGTCACAAACGCGTCCACGACAAAGAAAGTGTTGTTCTTCACTGCTAAATACTCTAACGTGTACCGTATATCAGAATATTGGGAGGAATCCCATTCCAATATCCTTCGACTTGCTTTAGCTTGGATCGGTCTTGCTGGACTGGGGATTTTTCATCATCTTGTCGCATAACATTAGCAGACATAATGAAGAGATTATATACAAATACAAGGAAGCTCGTTACTTTTTCATTAAGACGTTGTTGAGAAGAGCCTACAAAAAGATGGAAAACGTGGGCGGTACGAAAGAACGTACTAACAATGCTGCGACAAGGAGGTACGAAAAATCAAAAGGAAGATGGATTTGGGCAAAGTGATAATAAGGATGACAATTACGAAGACGACGCTAATGACGATACCAGCGAAGATAACGCATCGCTAGACACCCGAAAAAAGAAAAAAATACCGGTAATTTGATCAATATGGTTATTATTATGATAGGCATTTTTATTAACTAATAACCGGGATCACTATTTCGTCGAAAAAATACTAGATATAACGAAGCACGGGTCACATAAAGCAGGATGTAAACTTCAAAGGGATACTCCTCATATATCCTATTGTCAGCCAGCAGATTATAGCATCCAAGCTTAAATGTTCTTATCAACGTATCGCTATGATGGAGACTTCTAGCATTGGCCAATTACATGTGTTGCCCATCAAGCTCAACTCCAAGAAACTATGGCAAATTTAGCCAAACCCACCATCTTTGTATCTGCATTTCAGAAAGAACTTGATATTGAACAATCAATGGAATTAGACAAGATCCCAGTTCACTATCAGATGTGATTAAACATCTACAGATGGATCCATATTCCTTCCTCATTTAAAAATTATATGCTTACAAACCAGAACATCTCAAGCTCATATATCACGGACATATTCACTTCGGGACACACGCACTAGCGAGCGAATTCTACAATGCAATGAACCAAATGACGTTCACGTTTGGACACACCTAGTTCAATATTACCATAATAACATTGATCTTAAAAACAATATTAATCTGTTTATTTATAATCAATGCAGAAAACATGCGTATGAGCGTTATAAAGATGGCTAGCTATTGACATTAATGTGGCTTTTACACAACATTTGAAAAATAAATCTCTGGCCAAACTTAGAGCAAGCATTATGGTTATGGACAATACCAACTCAACATACATATACACAACTTGCAAAGTCTCCGAACGGCGTTTATTAAGCGTTTCGTTACGTCACGTGACTTAATAGCGATCCTGTTTACATGAATCAAGCATAATAATAATAATAATAATAATAATAATAATAATAAAAACAGAGTGTTAGGTAGAGTTTTAGCTTAAAGAACAAGGTGGTGCAATAATAATAATAAAAACAGAGTGTTAGGTAGAGTTTTAGCTTAAAGAACAAGGTGGTGCAATAATTTATTGCCGTCAATGTGGTGACAGTTATCGGATTATTGCTACTACCATCGGGTGTGGAGTGTCTATGGCCATAGTCAAGAAAAGCATTCGTGAAAGAAAAAAACACCTTTCCAATATTGCTGAACTTGACCGATGTGTTAAAAAAGGCATGGCAAGACATCCCTATACATACTATCGAAAATTTGGTTGATAGCATGCCACAAATGGAGGTCCGATCAAGCACTAGTCACTTAGTACGAAATATAGATCAGACCCTGTTTAAATAAAAAGTTAAGCTTAAGTATTAAAATTTTTAAGTTTAATATTGAGTCAAAAATCGGAGACTTTTGGCGACCCTCTTAGGTTATATAACTATCGAAGTGAAACCGTATTTATCGGCTGAATTATGCGGACCAATGAACGTCATATTGACACACTCAAAAGAAGGCCGTCTTAAAAACACGTTTACAGTAGCAAAAAAACTCTCAGTAATTCAATGTACAGGGGAATTGTTCGTTATAGAAGGGAAACTATTGTGACGCAATCGAGATGCAGTTCATAAATATCAAAATCGAATCAACATCCACATCATCGACAAACATCCCATGGACTATGTCTCATAACCAAACAAGAAAAATCAAATAAAAAATAGAATAGCAGCTATCCATCAAACATTGCAACCCAACCACCACTCACCCCTGTAAAAATCGAAAAGGAGAACATCAGATGAGTCTTTTCCTGATTCTCAGCAGTTGCCTATAAATACCAATTCTACTTTCATGACTACTATTTATATTATGTTATCAAACAATGGTCAGGCTGATAAGTGGAGATCATCAGCTACTAATTTTAAATTTTATTTTTAAAAGCATTGAACATAATCTTATAAATAAGCAATTATTATGACTGGGTTTTTTACTTTGGCAGATTCTCCTATTACTACTACAGAATGCATTGATATTGAGGCAGAGTAAGAGTAAGAGCTGTGGAATTTGATGGTAAAATCACATAACCTTGGGTATGTGCATGGTGGTCTATAATATTATGCATCAACTTTTTTAAAACAGATTTTTGCAACCATTTACTTTGCAAAAAAAATTTTGCTGACCATCATTATTTTTTACATTTTAAAATATATGGAGCAAATTTTTCTCCTTTAAAGACTTCTAATACTGTAGTACTTAGTACTGTAATTTCTGGGATTTGATATAGATTAAGCAATTTATACAAAAATCCTCTATATTACTGTAAATTTAAAAATAATAAGATTGGGTGATTTATAATAGCTCTGATAAAAAGAATGTAATGTTCTGATCCCATTGCAATAAAAAACTCAAACATAAACAGGCAAATGTCTGACGTTATTTTATTTATTTTTTTCATCTTTCTATGCATATAAATTAATATATGGGTTCAGGGTTATTATTATGTAATTAATATACCTTCAAGGAATCACATTTTCTCAATCGTTAATAATTAGGGAGGGAACAATTAGTCTTACAAATAATATGGTCCGGTACCTAAATGTAGATACCTCAATATAAGAGGTTTCAATCGCTACTAGCAAAAGGTTTGTTTCACTAAATCGATCAACGTCAAATTTTTTGTATATAATAAAGTAATACTATATCTATCATTCTGCATACTTTGATCTATCTACGACCGAAGGTTTGACCAGATTCTAATATCACCGTGCAATAATCGTAGAATCAAATAAAACAGGATGACCCCTATCTACGGCGGTGATACGACAGTTTCTTTCAGAAAAAGGACATATAGTTTCTAAGTGGTAACTTCTTCGCATGTTACACAGTTTAGGATACTACTTTGGCCGGGAAAGAAGTAATATTTTTACACGAGTCACCAAATAACGTTATATTTCGCCGTCAATATATTCGAAAAACCATCAGGATAACAAAAGATTATGTGAATTCTGATAATAATTCTTTTTTGGTTGATTGATGAAATAGATAATGACTGTGAAATAGACAATAATTTTTCTTTAGAGAATGATGTTGAATTTGACTAATCAACTTTTAATAAGATTGATATCCTCTTGACTGAAGAAATGATTTATCTAATCAGAATTAAAAAAATAACTTTTCAAAAAATTTCTATGAAAAAAAAACTGAGGTATCTACGTTATTGCACCAGACTATATATTCTAAATGCTGTCTTTATGTTACATGGAATTTCTACTTTTTGAAATTCTTACCGAGTTTTTAATGATAGTCTTTCCATTTCGCTTAATTAAGCATCGTGAACCGAGCTCTCGGATAAAAAAACCCTTGATTTAATTTTGGCCCCCGTCATTCTTGCAGCTTCAATAAAAGTTTGGCCAATAATAGCCGATTGCTAAAATTTTTGACACCATAGAAAAAAAACGCTTTCGCTGTCGCTAATTTATTTGTTTAGGATTATTTCAGCATTAGCAAGCACACACAAATGCGTTCTGTAAAGTGTCAATCCTTTGCAACAGAGTATTTTATTATTATGCCAAAATCGCATACCATATTAGGTGTAACATCTACATGACAACTATGCAGCGAATAAAAGAATGGTAAAGTTATACCCCGCGTACAACCAAACCCTGCTATGTGATAGAGATTTTTGGATGACAAATGTTTAGTCATGATGATTACCAGTAATTCTCATTAGCTGCCATATTTGTATCAGTTGGGAAGATCATTATTAGTCCCAAGTTTTAATTCGCTCGCAAGTTACTGATCCCCAAAATAGATTAAGAAATAAAGATTCCATACAGTAGTAGTAACGAATGACAATCGAATGAGCAATAATGAACTTGATCAGTAACAGGGATCCGATAAAGGCTTAAAATCGAACATAATTATGAAGTAACATATATATTTTGAAGCATGAAAGATGAAAGACCCAATATATGAAATAGTCAAGCTGAATTGATGAAGACTTAAAAAATCATTCGGCTCCAGAAGAGGAAAGAAAGGAGTTTCCCAATAGGAACAGAAACTTTTCAGATGTAAAATTTGGAATAAAAAGTCAGAACTAAACATCTATCTTTAATATAGTAAGGCCATTACACCGCCATTTCTCTCTACAATACTAAACATCGGATGCGCTTCTGCTTAATCACCGGAGGATCCAGAGCAGCAACAATAGCTTCATCAAACACATTCTTCAAACCTTTCTGTGTCAGAGCGGAGCATTCGACATACTTTACTGCGCCCAATTCTTTTGCTAGTTTTTCTCCTTGATCGAGACTGACTGGTCTCATTTTTTGTCTTTGGAGTTTCTCGACTACTGTTGGGTCATCCCGTAAATCTATTTGCGTACCGACAATAAGACAGGGAACGCCGGGACAATGGTGATGAACTTCTGGAAACCATTTCTCTTTGACGTTTTCAAAGGACGCAGGGGATGTTACGGAGAAACAGACAAGAAAGACGTCTGTCTGGGGGTAAGAAAGCGGGCGGAGTCGGTCGTAATCCTCTTGACCTATATATTAAATACATGGGAGAGTAGAAATGGGTGAGTGTTTTACGTGTGGGTTACCATGGAACAGAATTTTAAGGTATTACTGAAATGTGATTACTGAATGGGAATGATTACAATATATCCATTATCAATAACATTGATGCATCGCTAATCTCTTTAACTGCTTGACTTACCAGCTGTGTCAAATAAACCTAATGTATAAGGTTCCTCACCAATCATCACTGTGACGGCATAGTTATCAAAAACCTAATAAAATTGGCAAATAGTCCTTCATTAACGGGGGCATCTCTCATACCAACAACTTCACATTCTAGTTCGAAATCAACTAATGATTTGGAAGACAAGAAACAAGTTAAGACTAGCACTCGTAGTTATAGCCCCAAGCAAGTAATAAACACGCAACTTGTGTAGCTTAACTAGATGAAGTAACTTATTCGTTGTCCCTAACAAATCATAAAACCACTGATGCTATTTCGTAATGCTCTTGAATTGTAATGCCGTGTCACGTAATCCTTTTCTCTCTCATCTCTGTCAACTTTCTTACTATATATACACAATCCAACACCCTCCTTGTACCAATACTTTCTGAAGAAAGCAACTTTTCAAACATGAAATAATATACTTCATGTTTATATATGGGTATTATATATGAACATACTAACCGTTGGAACGTACTCCGAAGGAAATTTATTAGTTGTATACGAAATAAGAAGACACGTCTGTTGAGGGGGAGGGGAAGGGTGATTGGAATGATAGATTAAGAGCATGTTAATTCTTATAGTCATGACATTTTCAAAGGCATGCGCAGCATCTAATCGCCATAGACTACGCTATGATATCTTAATTGCTCGAGATTGCAAGTGCTTGCATTGATAATAAGCAAACAAAAGCCTGATATCCATAATAACTTTTGTCCAAATAACGCTCGTTCGTACTCCCCAAAGCCCAATATTATGCCTTATCCAACTACTGCTCGATGTACCAAACATGCTCTGCCCCTTGTCATAGATCAACTTTCCCCACTAAAACACTCGATACGCTTGGTTGGCGTCCCATGTTTGATAGAAACTATTCTCTCATCTCGTTCACAAGTATACTTGCGAGTATAGCCCTCTCTTACCTTTCCGACAGCACCATCACCTACTACGACACACTTGATTGTTTGCATGATTAATTAGTCCACTTATTCCTTATAAACTATAATACTATTACTCGGGGTAGCAACGGAAGTCTAGAATGGTATGAATAAAGTAAGTATATGATGAATAGTATTATTCGTTGAGAATGGGTGGTGTGGCTACTGATGAGAGTGTTAAGTGAGACGGCGGTGGTAGTAGGAGACGAGTGAGATGGAAAGAGTTTCTTATAAGAATTATAAAAAGAGAAATAGCGCAAAAAGAGCCCTTAGGAGCCACATGTATATGAAGTCGGGAGGTCAAACGAGAAAGAAGAAATCTACTGATTAGGGAAGTGTCACGGTATGACTGTCCACCATACCTGGGAGTGTGGAATTTGATGGTTATAGGAATTGAAATATTTTAGGTAGGCTTGGAAAAAAGGCCTTCTTAGAGTTGATATTGTGGTTGTTATTATTGTTGCTGTTTCAGATGCTGTTGTCGTGTTTGCCACCGTTATCGTCCTTGTATTATTGTTGCGCCCCTGTCAGCATTGTAATAGTAGTCTTGGCAGGGATTGGCGAATCTTGGGTAGTAGTTCAATGAATTTCTTGGGGGGAGTTGAATAAGTACCGTACGAATAAAGTAATATTATCCACAACAATATAAATATAAACAACTTATTAATTCATTATTATTTATATTATGTCGTATTACAACCGTGTTGCCTGAGGTGATCTGACACTGTCTAAATACAGAAACTGGCAATCAAAAGAATACGTCATTTTATCACTGATATGATCAAAACCCAACCAAAGCGCTTCAGGTAAGACCACGCCTTCATTGACTATGACATTCACAAGCTTTGCCTTCCTGATATTCAAATTCTTATCTCTTATCTCATCAATCATATCTAATTCCGAGTGATATAAGTATGCATTCGTTTAGTCGATGCTAGTACGTTCATCCTCATTGGTCAAGATCTATCTTTTCAAGTCTTGTCCCGCCAGATTCTTAATCAAACGAATTTGGCCATGTCACCGTTTGTGTTAATGTTTCAAGTGACAAGCTGAGGTTGCATAAGATTGTCATTGGTATTGATCCGCAGTATTGTAAATAATCTTCCGAATTAACCAACTTTTTGTTATGCTGCGCACCTCAAACTGCTGAGCGCCGCAGGTTTCTCCTAAGCACAAATATAACTTATCAATAATATTTACCCGAGGCAAAATTCGAAAATACGACAGTGTCTGCATGGAGCTCAACTTTTTAACTGTCATCCGTTGAATTGTCATTTGCCGGATTGAATTTACCAGCACCCTTTGAGAATGTGCAATCAATGGTAATTTAAATATAACCCAAATATTCGTTGTATCCAGGATTGATTAAATGTGCACTATAAAGGCTGCAACAAAGTCGTTCAGCTGGCCAAAGTACAATTCCGGCGACATTTTTTGTCAATTGTAAATTTGGTTTTCCATCGCGGCATTCGTTTTGTATTACCACGCATGCGCGACACTATACCGTTCGCCACACCAGATAATTGCAACCAATCCCTAACATGTTGATCTCAGTGGTAAAACATTCTCTTATTAGGACGTGTTTTTTTTGAAGGCAACTATCCTACCTCGAGGGTAAATGACTTGCAAATATAAACTTGCGGCGAGAGATTTTTTTGATAAAATTACTGTGGCAGTGATTTCAAAAGAGAAGTTGATTGTATCCATTGCTTTCAGCTGGATATTAATAATATTCTTGTCTCGGATCTGGAATGCCTCTTGCAACTCGGCAAACTTGAGTCACTCGAAAACTTTTTTGATCATAACCTATATCTAAGAAGCGTATTGCTTTTTCGTATTCAGAAGAATTATCCTTTATATCATTACAGGTGATTATATATAAATATTGTTATTTTCAAGTGAAGGTCACCAACGATCTTAAGTTTTATTGATTCCTTATTATTATGTTGCTTGTATTTTTATAATACTGTAACTAAATCGTATATCATATTCATTACTAATCAGACTATGGTCTTCAGTGTCCTAGTTAAACCTCTATTTTCATTACATACTAACACACTTTATCCTCTTTTCGGTCTAGCTTTTCGACATTATCGAGTGGTTTTGCTTTTTGAAATTGTTACATACATATTGTTGGTCTACCTTGATGAAGGACACTATGTGTGCGATGCTTGCTATGCGCCGGGCCAAGAGCTCAACATCCACCAGCCTGTATAACCTGATGTACATATCTTTCAAATAGAGTCCTCATATGTGCTTACAAGTCTAGAACCATTACTGCCAGAAGTGTTTTCAAATCAGAGTTTTTCATGTCCAAATTCGGGAGTATAGTAATCGACTTAAGATTTGTATACGTCAATCTTAGAAGCAAATCAACCTGCTGTTTCTACGTCTATCTACTCTAAACGCAATCGTATTTGCTCAACCGGAAGACTAGATCGATTATTCTCATTAACGGCTTCGCGCTCTACCGGTACGATTACCAGAGAATAAATTATATTTCAATAATTATTATTTCAGAGTGAGAAAACTCGAGCTGCTTGAATATCTTCAACTTGTTTCACTAACAGCGGGTGTGTCTACTGCAGCACATCTGGAAATTCTTGTAGAACTGCGAGATGCGTCTTCAACGTCATACTTACAGAATGCAACTTTGTGTGAATTTGTAAACGTCTGTTAATATTTAAGCTAATGTATTACACATACTCGCTAAATTTGTATCATTGGATTTCGCTCTGGTGCTTTCTTAGTACTATATTTTCAAGAGCGCGTTCTATAGTAAAAATAATAAATTATGTCTACGCTCTTACTCGGCATTTGAGGTGTGCACTTAAACACAGCTGGAATAAGCTTTGTGCTGGACTAACTGGTTCCGAAATAAGTCGCTTTTAAGATCCGAGAAATAGTACTTTCATCAACTCCAAGTCTCCATCATTATTCGACTCAATCGATGAATTCGGTCTGTGTCTTTTTAGCAGGACATGCATAATAGGTCTCGCTTATGTAATTCAGTAAGAGGATTCTCTTGAGGATTTCTAAGAACTCTCTAGCGCGACTATTATTGTGACATCTATTTCTTTATTTGTCTTATTTTAAAAATATGACGAACTTTTTAGCGATGCAGATCTGTAAGCACTGTAATATGTAACTCTCATCATTTACAAAAAAGATAAGCTTTATGCCGAACATATATGATTGATAGTTGAAATCTTTTGTGCAGCATGCCCCATATTAAATATTGGGCTGTCTGTATCAAGTCTGCAATTCTCTGGAATCGGAATTCAATGGTTCTAATTAATGTTTACAATTATCTGCACAGCCCCGCTTTGAAACAATGGTCATAAGCGAAAAAAACAACCGAGTCAATGTCCCCGTATTATTATCTCTACGCACTTTAATCGCATTTATCCATGACCCGCATACATATGATTATCCATTTATTGATATGACCTACGCACCAATTAAATAAGAACTCCTGACCAAAAAATACCGACTATTACACTTTAAAATGTAAACGTTCCATCGATGTCGATTTCGTGGGAAGCACTAAGTTGAGGCTTTTGAAGGTACTTTTCAGCAAGAATGTCACGCACGGAATTCAAAAGTTCCTGGTATGTGAGCGGGTATTTCTGTTTCACACTAATAAAATGTGTATCATGATTAATATGAGCAGAATAGGAGGGAGGGAGGGGTAGAAGCCGTATAACGACAAAGACGTACGTTGAGATCAAGGCAAATGACATGGCTCCAGTGCTCTTGCCTGCTTCAAATGCATCGGCCGATGTTTGCAAATCTTTGCATCTAATCAAAACTTTCTCAATTAGTAAATATTCCGGTATAAGATTTTTACATAAACGCAATATTAATCAAATTGAAATTATGCAAACCCGCTCAACATTATAACGTCGGCTTTACTCGATTTGTTGGCTTTGTTTCTTTGACTAATGACTTTTCCGTCTTTAGCCTTCTTCGTAAATGAATGTATATTGTCTTTCGCAACTTTCAGGTCGCCCTGGAGATATGAAATCCCTGCGTAGAATAACGCACTACCACCAGCCTTCAATATGCCCGGATCCTTGACTATTCCCTTTGTTGAATAGGTATATGGAAGATCGAGAGCAGTTCCCGAGTGGCACGAGTCAAAGATTACAGTCATACGGACACCTGTAATAATGTATTTGATGGAATTGTTAGAAATTGATGCAATTTGATATATAAAAAGCAATTGATTATTGAATACTTGCCCTCCGGCAATGGTTGTACTAGAATTTTGTTCATTTCCTAAAAACATGCGGCAAATGAGCAAATTTATATTAACGTACATAGAATGTAAATGTTTTACTAACATCGTCTATGATGTGTCCGGCAGTTGGAAAGTCGAGAGGCATAATGGTTTCGTCATAATAATCATCTTCATCATTGTCCGTGTCAAGCAATTGGCCACCATGACCACTGTAGTGTAAGAAAAGTCTAAGAGAGAGACATGTTGAAATAAAGTCTCAATTTCAATTGCACAGATAGTCAAGTGGGCCTGTCAGCGTAAACACAATCAATTCATTCAAATTTTGCACTCACGAATCACCAGGTTGCGCATCGCTGACAAGCCATTTTAATCCTTCAATCATGTTTTGTCTCGTAGGGATCTTTGTCGTATCCAATTGATCGTCAGTCAGAACTCTGATATTCGATTCTTCATAGCCATGTTGCTTCAAAAACGCTTTAATATTTGCTACATCGTTAATACATCCTGGAAAGCAAAACAATGAAAGGGTTACTACTAAATACAGATTATCGATAGTAAAGGGACATGTACAAAGTATTCGAATATATCTCACCTTTGAGCTCATATGGAGTCCCATAATAATTGATTCCAATCATTAAGGCTTTCTTCCTTCCCGACGACTGCACATAACTCTGAGTACTCGTTGTCGTAGCACTTTTTCCATCTACAGTAGTTGTTACAGTAGTTGTAGCTTTATAGAACGTAGTCTGCTGTTCACTCATGGCAGCAAGTGTGTTCAGCTTTCAGAGGTGAAGAGGGCTACCAAATCCGCCACATCTTCAAATACCATCTAGCATCTCTCAGTGTCATTGGACGATCATGCCCAAACTCTTCTTCCCCCAACAAGAACGATTAATAACACGTGGCAATCTGAGCCACAATATGTTCTCAATAGAACAATGAATAGTTTATTGTTATTGAAAGATCTATTACAAGGAGCGTGGGAAACTAAGATGGTCTACGGATATGGGATAATTGCGATAATTTCGTAAGCGTAATAGCAAGTGATACAATAATCTTTTACAGTAAACTGAATTTTATGATATTAGTTTGGTTCTACCGAATCGGGAATAAGTTTTCCACGATACGTGTAACGATGCCCGGTGATTAGGGCGTTTTATTCGAGCGTCATTACTCTAAACCTAATTTGTCGTTTTCGTTTCCCATTCCCTGTTACTGTCTTTTATTATTAATTAAATACACTAAGCAAGAAATGAGTATACGCACTCAATTATTGTTTATTTACTCTGTGTCAGTAGCTAAATGCGTAGATGATCTGCTAAGATAATGGTATTGGGCTGATTAAATAGAGTTTTAGTGCCGATAAGTGGCTATGATGTATGGTATAAACATCGCTATATCGTTTAGTATTAGCAAGTCTTGGAATCGAACAAATAGTGTTAAGATGCCATGTGAATATTAATAGCCTAGTCGTAACTTAATACCATCTTTGCATTAGCAGGCTTGCGATGAACGCCATGTGCCCATTCTATTAATATCGTTTGATTTGCCCAATTGTTTTTTCAAGTTCCATGTTTCCCAAAAAACATGCGAATAGAATTTTGTATCTAATATGGTTTAATTTCTTATAGTAGTTATACCTTTTTTGGCAGGAATAATAATGCGAAAAAGTTATTGAACAATAGTGGGACACATTTCAGGTTAGATGTGATAATTAAATAGATCAGAGTTAAAAAACAAACATGTATTTACAATCGATAGCAATAACATATACTTGACAATTTTAATTTGTATATTATGTTTTTTGTTTTATTTGTTTTACTAATTCATAAATGCGCGTTTCTGATACTCTCGCGTCGGATTGACATGTTCCGGTGCAAAAAAGCAGGTTATGTTCTGAAATAAGGAGGAAGCAGTTTGAAGAGCGAGGTTCCTGGTGATGTCAAATGTTAAGCCTTTCGGGATTCGTATATTTAGTTTTGTAATAGTTGATTTAGTATACATGATGCCACGGTTACTGAGTCTGTCAAATTGGGGGGTTTAATCATCGAATGATGACCCCACCAACGAAGCATTGGTTACTGGCCTTGAGATTTCGAGAGATATAGAGGAATACTAATATAGTGAACCCTCTCTAAATGCAACCTACCAAATGCTATGGGTCGATCCCAAGCTTATAAAACTATTAAGTATTTTCACTATCTATAAATGCGAGCTATTTCTGATTTGGCCATATGGCCCGATGCATTGCATTCACTTACCACTCCACGTTAATAATTATGCCATCGACTTGACAATTGATGAGATTTATCTAATATTAAAAGGGTGAAAGTGTAAGAAGCACGGTGATGAATACAAAGAAATTGTAATAGACTTTTTTGTACAGTTTGCATATTGCACACCCACCCTTTAGGAATTATGAAAAGTGGGGACGGTTGTCTGGATGCTGAGGAAATTTGAGGAGTCGGAATATAGTATTACGTTTCTCTTTGAAATACTTCGCCATCTTTGTATGCGGTCGAAGCAAGAATAAGAAGTGCAATTAGGACAGCCACGTGGAGATCACAGCCAACTAGTTTCTGTAACGAAAAAGAAACGACGAAGGCGCTAAATACAAAATAGTTTTAGTAAAATATTCTAACAAAATATGTTTCTTTTAGCTAAACATACCGATTTTTCTTGCCAAGATTTTTTTTTTTTTCGCGAGTACTTGAACAAATACAATTTCAAATAGTCGTCTCGCAGGGTGTTAAATTTCTCGTGGGGACATCCCATTAAATGCTTCTGTTTCCTCGTTGTTGAGCCCAAGTTGGGTAACGATAGTAGCGTTAGTAGCGTTAGTAGCCATTTTAGTTACTGTTGATAGTTGGAGAGTTGAGTTGAGAGGTGATGTATAAATACAATCAGAAAGTCACGTGAAACGAATACTACGCAGGATTGTCTGCCCTGAATTATATGTAAATTATCAATTAATCAATTGTATGCATGTAAACTTAGATGGGTTGTTTGTTCTCTAATTGTTTGTCTATTCAAGGAGTAAACTTATTTTATTACCTGCATATTTTAATGAAAAGGGCCGACGTCAGCTAAACTAATAAAAAAGGAAATTTGTCAGCCCCATCTTGGACATTACAGTATTGGGAAAGGGCTTCATGGCTTTGCTGATAGTTGGTTTGGGAAGGATTGGAAGACCATGTAGATGGATAGTAAGAGATGATCTAGGGATATGTTTAGGAAGAGAAAGATGGTAAGTTTTGTTCTTAACAGTAAAGGAGAGATTGTGTAGGTATTTTTCATAGGTATCAGCATCTTGGGTGAGTTGAACAAATTGTTCAGATGGGAAGAAGGCTGTGCCCAGGAGATCTTGGCAAAAACTTCTCAGAAATGCAATTAGCTTACAATCAATGAATAATGAGTTTGGAGAAGAGCAATCTGGAGGAACTCGTCCTACAAAATGTTTGTTAGTGAGAGAGAAAACAGTATTTCTCCAGTTGAGGAGAGTAAAGAACCATCAGGATTAACTAAGGGAGAATTTGTTGGAACTGATTTAAAGTAGCCTTCTGGAGCTTTTTGTAAAAGTGAGAGTTGTTGGAGAACAGCAGAATAAGAGGGAGCAGAAGTAACAGTAGTATAAGACATGATTGAAAAGACTATTTTTCAGTAGTTTGTGGTGACATGTTATTTTTTTCAAGTGATATCCCTCCACACATGCCCTTATTCTTCAACAAGCCAATGATTATACCTAAACCTTCTTCACACCCTCATCAAAAGTTTCTTCAGTAAATTCAATGCTAAAAGGCCAAAATTTCACTGGAAAATAGAGGAGCCTGACAGATGTCACAATCCCATAAAGGTAGTCAAAATAATCATCATTACCGTTTATTTCATACAAACTTTCGAGTTGCTTGATATTCTGATGGCTTCCATAATTTATTTTGGTTTGGAAATCATTTGTTAGAAAAATATAGCACCTTTTTTTATGGATAATCAGAAGCATAGATCTAGCCAAGTACAAATAATTAGCTATTGTTAAAGATAATCTTTGATATATTGAAGAAAAATTTCGCTAAAAGATATACGACGTAATAGAGACTAGTGAAAAAAACACAAATTGTTGCTGGTAAAAAGCTAATCAATATTGGTAAAAGTATAGAAAGTAATATCTTTAAGACTATTAAAAAACAAATGAACATAAGCTCCACCACAACTTAATGAATAACATAATAATTTCAGTGATAAAAATCAGTGAATTCAATACTAATAAAAAATCTTTTAGTCATCTTTGTATGCGGTCGAAGCAAGATTCGATAGATGTAGGCTAAATGTCGTTCGATACGTCTTTATTGGGATTGAAATTAGGACAACCACGTGGAGACCACAGCCAACTAGTTTATGGCCAAGGTCCTAACGCAAAAAATATGTTAAGAAACGACGAAGGCGCTAAATATAAAATAGTTTTAGTAAAATATTCTAACGAAATATGTTTCTTTTAGCTAAACATACCGATTTTTCTCGCCAAGATTTTTCTTTTTCCGCGAGTGCTTGAACAAATACAATTTTCAAGTTGTCGTCTCGCAGGGTGTTAAATCTACGTCTTTCTCGTGGGGACATCCCATTAAATGCTTCTGTTTCCTCGTTGTTGAGCCCAAGTTGGGTGACGATGGCAGCGTTAGTAGCGTTAGTAGCCATTTTAGTTATTGTTGATAGTTGGAGAGTTGAAAGATGAATAGAGTTGATAAGAGTTATGATGTATAAATGGGGATCTAATATATTCTCATTGGTCAATCTTCAATTCCCCCCTACTTATATCACCTGATGTTAAAAAGCGCAATATTACGTAATCGTCAAGCTATGCAAATCAAAGTAAGTACTCGAAAAAATAGTAGCTTGACGTAATTTTTATTACAAAAACTATTATAGATCCTACTTTCGTTAATAGACTATCTCTAATTCTAGACAATTTCTGCAAAACCTTTATGTACTTAAAAATCGAATTACGATTTAAAAGAAAAAGAATGAAGATTTCAAAATTCTTCCAATAATTCTAATAGTTTTAATTTTTTATCATTTTTACTAGTATTAATAATCAGTATTTATAGAAAAGTGTATGATTAATAAAGAAAAAAATTATAGTAGAGAGTCGCGAGGAGTGCGCTAACTATTTTTAATCTGGACGATCGCAGTCGTGTGTAGTAGACGCGTATGTGAAAATCATATAAATTAAAATTTGTTGTCACTGAAGTATTAATATCGAACTCTTATCATATTCGCTTACAAACCTTTGTCTTATTTATCATAAAAATGTCTGTAAACTCATTTGAATTATGAGCATTGAGAAATTCGATACCGTAGTTGAGGAATACCTCAAAACTTAGACCCAAAATTTCGGGAAAAGTCGTTAATTTCGCAAGAGCTTGCGGATATCGCGAAGGAAGTATTAACCGTTGATAACGAGCAACATTCCACAAAGTTGAAGGCATGGGTTAGAAAGCACTTTGCGATGATGAGAGTTGGGGAATCAGCTCGCTTAGTCGAAAAAAAAATTTTTGTAAAAGAGTGTCTGTATAATGTAATTGGAGATTTACATGAATAATTACGGCACGCGGGCTATATAAAGACTTACACCGCTGTAAGTTGTTTAAAGTTATAATAGCCACAGTAACACGATGAACGTACGCTCTCTTAAATGCTAATTCATATTTATTCTCAGATCTGCAAACAATATACAGTCAACTCTCTCTAAATGCACTCTCTCTAAATGCACGCTCCCTATTCTGCACGTGCAACCGATTTCGCAATCCCGAGGAGTGATTCTACTATAAAGATAAATTCTGTAAACGCACACACGGATGTGCATTTAGGGAGAGTTGACTGTACTAATACTCGAAATTCGTACAGTTTTTTGGTGGATGTCACACAAAAATATCGGTATAAAAATTTTTCTGGTACATCGTATACGTATCGTTATACGTAATAACGAGGTTTAATAGTAAAAATCGGCATAACCAAATAAGAATGTTTTGGTAATTATAACGACAAATTTCATCGTTAGATCCAGTTATCGTTATATACAGATATTGCTATATCCAGTCTTGAGGGTGACTATAAAGAGGGTTGACTGTATTTTGTATTTAAAGCGACACGTTATTTTTGGATTTATTCATAAACCTAGAACTCTCCAGATTTTTTATTAACATAAAAAGTGCGATCTGCATTAACCGTAATACATCATCAAATGTAGCGAATTGCTGCGCAAAAATCACGTGCGCGTTCAAAAAGGAAAAAAACAAACCAAATTTAACAAGAAAGACTATCTGTAACGAAAACAGTATGTTAAGAAACGACGAAGGCGCTAAATATAAGATAGTTTTAGTAAAATATTCTAACAAAATATGTTTCTTTTAGCTAAACATACCGATTTTTCTCGCCAAGTTTTTTCTCTTTCCGCGAGCGCTCGAAGAAATACAACTTTCAAATAGTCTTCTCGCACGTTGTTAAATTTATATCTTTCTCGTGGGGACATCCTATTAAATGCTTCTGTTTCCTCGTTTTGAGCCAAGTTGGGCGACGATGGAAGCGTTAGTAGCCATTTTAGTTGCTGTTGATAGTTGGAGAGTTGAAAGATGAATAGAGATGAGAGTTGAGAGATGATGTATAAATACACGTATATCAGAAAGTCACGTGAACAAATACTACGCAGGATCATATTGTCTGCCGTATTGCGTAATTTATCAATTATTCAATTGTTTGCTAAATAGGGTAAATGAAATTCGTGCCCGTGCATCCCTAAATTATTACGTAATAAAAGTTTTAATGCAACCAATCAGCGTTTTGTGTTAACGTTTCACTATATGATGCTGGCTGACTCTTCTCAAAGTGGTAAGTTCTCCTTTCCGTTTTTGGTGTCTGGTCAGGACGAGGTCATTTCATGAATGTGCATAAGTATACGTGTATAAGTTACAACGTACTACCCACGGATTCGTAAATGTCAACTATTATGCGCTTGCTTGCGCGTAGGCTGTTCGCCAGTATCTAATATTCCTGTATTTATTTGACATTTATTATTATACGCTTGCTTACGCGTAGGCTGTTCGCTACGCTCGAATATTTATTCACGTCGTATGCAAATCGGTACGTTACGAGTGTAGACCGGTCAGACACCACTTACGCCGCAAAGAGAAGTGTCCGCTGCGTTCTTAAGAAATATGA